AATAATAATAATTGGAATAGATTAATAAAGAATACGATAAAAGAGAAATAAATTTAAGGGATTTCATATTTATCTTAAATGTATTGATAAATAAATTTTCAAAACTAACTATAAATAACATAGCTTAAAGTGTAATTCCTAAAACTACTAAGAAAATTGTTAAATAAGCAGTTCTGTAGTTAATTGGCCTGCAAAAGGCTTACTTTATAACTAAAAAAAATAAGGCTATAACTTATAAATGTTTAATAATAAATAAAACAGAAAACAGCATATTTCTCTGATCCCAATATTATGATTTTATTTTTACTCCAAGAAAAAATTACTTTAGGAGTCACTTATTAATACAGTACAGAACCCGTTATCCGGAAATCAGAAAACCGGAACGAAATTCGATAAATTTTCCCGCCATTTTTTAAACAAAATTTTTTTTTCCTTATAAGATTTTAGGATTTTTCTTTCTTTTTTGAAAGATGTTCACCTTACCATCATTTTGGAAATAATCATTAGTGTATTACTTCATCTTTTCTTCTTTTCAAGATTATTTCCTAAAAAAAATTTTTTTTTAGTTGGGTTTAACAATAAAAAAACGGCTTTTTGTAGCGATTCAGAAAACCGGAAAAATCAGTTATCCGGAATAGTGATGGTCCCGATCGTTCCGGATAATCGGTTCCCTACTGTACTTATATTCTCTTGACTGATATTTTTGTTCTATGATATTTTAATTCAAAATCATTGTACTAGATCAGCATAGTTTATCTCTTCAAATTACTATTAAGATCTAAATGTACTGCTATTAAGTCTGTAACTATGATGTAGTGCAGCCTTTTTAAGTCAGAATGTTAACATTTAGTTTTTGCTTGGTTGTTATTTTGGATTTATATTTTCTGTTTTCTTTACTAATACTTTTTTTTCTTAGCTTAGAGATGTTGTAGATCTTCAGCCATTTTCTTTTGTGCAGTTCATCCAACCTACTCTAGAATGTTGCATCACATTTTGTTTTAATAGAAGTTTACAAGGTAAATAAAATCTTTTTCAACTGAAGTAAAAAAAATAATCACAAATTTAATTTTTTCTTTCTTTTTGGATTAAGCTATGAAAATTAAGTTTGAGAAATTAACTTGAACTGAAAATCTAACAGAGTTTAATGTTACTTATTACTGTACAATGGGCATTTTAATTACCACTGTAACAAAATAAATAAATAGTTTTTTTTTCTTGAAAGTGTATAGTTTTTCATACTTAATATTTATTATATCGTGTTGTAGTATGGTATACTGCATATTAATTAAAATCATTTGTTAATTCTAATTTCATTATCTAATCATCTAATTTATCTAATCATCATTATTCATCTAATTTAATAATCATTGGTTAATTGTTCATTTGTTAATAATGTAATTATGTGACAGCTTAATGGTAATATTCAAATTTTATTTAATTGTATGGTTTTTAATTTCTTCTTTTTACACTTGTAATTAATGTTATTTATTTGTCAGTATTCAATAATTACTTGCAATATTTTAATGTAATCTTTAAATTTTAAGCCTCAAGTATATTTTTGTAACCTTGGAAAAGTAATCTTTCTCTGCATTTATGTTCTTCCTTTAAAAGAAGATTCCTCCTTTTGTTGCTTCGCTGACAGCAAGATGTATGTCCAGTCAGCAAACCCCTTTGTTGGATTGAGAAGGAATGACCCCATGTCCGTTTTCCTTTGTTTCGGCTTGCATCAAATGCAAAGCGCTTCTTTTGATCTTATGATGGCGCCAAGAATGTTCCAGAACATTCCACAAAATTCTTTTCCAGGTGTGTCACCACTTTTGACAACCCTGCTTCATGTTTGGCACGGAGCTTAACAATTAATTTCGCCAGTTGGCCAATATTTGCAGCTCTGTGATTTGCCCCTCTGATCCTTCTCCGTCCAACCAATGCGATATTCGTAAAATTTTAATTTTTTGGCGAGGTTTTTCTCGCCTATCTTCATAACGAAGAAACAGTTAGTTGTTGCTATTTCACCAGAAGTGTTGTTTGGTTTTCGGCGTGAGCCGAGACTTTTTGTTGGCATGTTTGCCAAGTTTTATTGCAGTTCAAATATGTTAAATTTGTAATAAATAATCGTATAGCATCCTTTACTATGGGTTTGGTGAGTTACTTTATTATGTAAGTTGTTTTCTCTTCCTTCCTTTTTTTCAGCATGTTCCTCGGTTGCACGTACCTGATCCTTTGCATCATACAATCGTAATGTACCCCACTTTCATCTTTTTCGACTTTACTTAATAATATTCTAAATTTTATTTAATCTTAATTTGACTTAATGCTAGTCACCCCCCTTTTTTCCCTTTTTTTATTTAGCCACACCACACATGTTACTATTAATTTTATAATTTGCATTTTAATTATCACTGTGACAAAAAAAAATTTATTTGGTAGGATATAGTTTTCTATACTTAATAATATGTCATGCCCTTGCCCATTTAAGCTTAAGTAGTTGTAAAATAGTGTAGTTGCATTTTTATACAATTGTAATTTTTTTTTTTTAAAGTTTTGTTGCTTTTTTTTAACTTTGAAATATTTTTTTATTAACATTTACATATTTCTTAAGTTTCAAAAATATTTTATTTATTTTTTATCAATGAGTGATTTGAGTGTTAACTTTCTTTGCTCTCATTTATACTTGGAATTGCATTAAGTTAAATTGTTCTTGTTAAATTAGAGATTATAAAATTTAAACTGTTTTGTACTCACCAAGTTCTATAGATCACATGTAAAGTTTCTGCTGCTATTCAATTTTGTAAATTAAAATAGGCATTTCAAATTTAAATTCCAGGAATGCGTGATGGTTATATATATTTTTTATACATAATTATGTTTTGAATGATGCTATAAATTGTATCTAGTTTGAGATGATTTGTTTGCTACAAAATTTATTGTATTATTTTATTACTAAATTTTAGAATGATTAAAGAAATGTCAGAAAATGTTCAGATAAAATTATTTCTCGCCTTTTATTTTTGAATGTCTTTTAAAGGTTTTATTGATATATAGCATTAATATTTTCTGAAATTTTTACATTTTCAATAAAAAAAGTTTTGTTTTTAGAATACGAATACCAAGTGTTCCAAAAATGACAAGCAATTTGAAAATTATATTGAGGAAAATAAAATTGAAAAGAGATGAAAATGTATAGTGTGCAACAGTTTTATTCGGGAAACCAGGCTATATTTTCATTAAGTTTCGAAGTTAGTTATTATGTGAAAGATAGTGCTTCCAATAGATAATAACTATTAAGCAATGTTTTCAAAGTAACCACTATTTGTTACATTGTGGCACAATCTGAGAACAAAATTAACTGATGGTTACGCAAAAAAAAAAAAAAGTTGGAATGGTCTTTGGTTCAGCAGAAAATATTTTTGTGCATTTTTTGTGACTCTGTAGCTTCATTTATTGATGAATTTCACAACTAATTTCAAAACGTAATGAGAATTAACTTGACAAATGAGAATTAACTTTAACAACTGATTTCTTGAACAGAACACAGCAAACTGTAATTTTTTTTATCTCCTTTCGTTCTTTAATGAATTTTTTAAAATCTTCGGTTATTTTTGGACCCTTGTTATCAATAGGCTTTAAGATTAGATTTTTATGTCCAGTCTAAAGTTAAATTATTCTGAAATTTTTTTTTATTTCTTATTACTGTGCTCATCAATTAATTTTTAGTTACACTGTTTTCTTTTTTAGCTGTAAAGTTATTGATCCATTAATTATTTAATTTATAATATAAATTTTATTAATTATTTGTTGATCACTGCTTTGTATTACATTTTGTATAAGTTTCCAAGCCTTATGTACCTGCATTATTTTTAGTGCGAAATTCTAAATTTAAGAAAAGCAATTTTAAAAAAATGTCTTAATTGTTTATTATTTTTATTAGAAATTCTACATTTTAGCAAACTGTTATTTCTCTAGTTAAATAGTTAATAATAGTTGTTTAAACTATTTTTTCGAAATGTATAAGAACAGTTATTTACCATTTTGTTAAATAACTGTTCTTATATATTTTGATGTATAAGACAAATGTTAAATAACATATTCTTATACATAGTATAAGAACATGTTATTTAACATTTTGTTACTATATCTAAGAAATTGCATTTGTTACTATAGCATTTTGTTACTATTACTATAATTAAGAAAGGTATTATTAATAATATTAACTAACTAATTATTTAAGACATAAACAGTTAAAAGTTTTTCTTCAATCCACACCTATATTTATTTTCTAAAATATTTTGAATAGATTCCCATAAGATAGTTCACTGATAGTTATAACTGAAAGTTAAAGGGTTAAGAAATTGTTCTTTTAACCCTTTTATTGAGAGTTCTTGCATTGTAAATTTTTTTGTAGTTAAAATTAAATTTAACTATTTAATTTAAAGTTAGAAGTTGATTTTAAAGTTAATTTCAGTTTTTGTAATTTGTACCACTAATTAAACTGAAATTTATTCTGTAAAATAGGTCACTAATTATTAAATAAAGTAATATGCTTTTTCTAAAATTGAGTTGTATAAATGGTATTGCAATATGGTTTATGATGATATATATAAGTTTTTTTTTAATTAATTATATAGTTTAAAGTCTTGGTATAGTGTGAGAATCTAATTAATTTGTGACTTAACAGTGACATTTTACAGGTAAATTTATATTAGATTATGAACTAGTGTTAACTTTCTAGTGTTTTTTTCTATGCGTTCCCTTCCAAAAGGAAATTATTCTACTTCTCCCTTTTCTATCTCCAGAGAATTATATGAATGTAATTTCTTCTTGAATATATATATATAGGAATATATTCTTAAATATATATCTTCTTGAAATCTTGTTATAAAATTTTAAGGTTGTAAGTATTTTTTATGATTTGATTGTCAAAAAGCTTTTAAGTTTGAAAAATAGCATTGTAATAAATAAAATGACATAAAAAATATTTCAAAGTATTCATAGAGAAAGATTTTTTTTTTTTTAAGAAGACTTCTTCACATGCGTGCCAAATGGTATTCCTTCATCTGTTAAACACAAATCTTGCAACTTTGTGGACAATTTTTCTTTTTCTCCCCTGATATTTGATTCTAGCACAGTTTGATCAGTTTAACTTAACGTTTAAACTAAAAAAGTGTAAACTTAACAGTTTGCACTTAGCAATTTAATCAGTTTACATTTGCCAATGTATGGTTGATTTCAAATTTTGTGTGCCAGTTAGTTAATACTGAACTCAATTCTATCTTAAGAAATGTTCAAAGTACTAACTGAGAAAATGTTTGTGTAAATAATAAATATCTATTTACAATTTTTTTATATTTATTTTTTTTCGCAAAAAAAAAACTTTTTAACTTTTAAAATGTATTTGCAGATAAATTGTATGAAAGACTCATTGTTCAGTTCATGAATGTTGTTAAAAGCATATTAATTTGCCAAGAATACAAGCCAGCAAAAGTAATTGAAGGTAAATTAACATTTTCTTTCTCTTATAAGTTAAAATAAAAATTTAAAAAGAAAACGGTGTATTTTATTATTAACAAGTTAGTTTTAATCATTTGAACAGTCTTGTCTAATCATATCTGTATTTACTATTCACTGTATTTAGCATAATCAGTATTTTTTCTGTTATAATATAATAAAATGTATTTGGAATATTTTGTTATTAGAAAGTCAATTTTGCACATAACTCAAATGCATAAAAGTCTTGCTTTATTACCACTGTATTGATTGTATTCTACTTGATGGGTCTGTGTTACTCAATTATTAGTTTGACCACATTCCAGTGTTGATTTAACAATATTCACTATTTAATCCCATTGAAGCTTTCCTTAGTTGTAATAGTTGTATTATCTTAGTTGTTATGGTTGTATCTCATATTCTGTTGTTGATAGTTGTATTATCATATTCTACTTTTAGCAGTTGCTCACTTAGTTTTGTGTTGGATATAATACTGTAGTTTTATTAGTTGATGAAATTAATATCAAAACTTAATAAATTCATTCTAATGTGTCTTGATATAATTGGGTAAAAAATGCACTTTAACATCATGATTGAATAATCTCATAAGTTCTTTAAGTGTTAAATTTTTTTGTGAAAAACTGAAAGTTCTATATTGTAATTTGAATGTTACTCATTAAAAATTTTTAAATAAAAATAATACAAGTTTCCTGGTGCAGTTTTCAAATTATGCTTTGCTGAAAGGATGAAGATATTCTGCATTACTATAAGTTATAAAGTAATAAATTTGTTGAGCAATAAATATTGAAGATGTACAAAAGTTTTAAAAGTTTGTTTAGTTTTTTTTTTTAAGTTGTCAGTTTTATTCTTGTACTAATTGACTTAATTTCCTGTTAAAATCAGTTGCTACTTATATGAGTTTTTATGCGCATTTCACTGTAAAAGCAAAATTAATGAATGTCAGCATTCAGTTGCTGGGAGTTGCTTGGTGTATGTCTAAAATATTTATTATCATTATATCTCATCTACTCTGGCAAAAGTTAGCACCTTACATACTTTGGTGGTAATATTGATATAAATAATAATTTAACTATTGTTTCTGATTATTACTTAGCAAAAAATTTAAATACATATAAATTATTAATTATTTCATTTTAATACTTAAGTTGAGTAGCTGATTCTAAATTATTTGCTAAATTTTTTCATTCTGTTTTAAAGTTAGCTAAGTTTTTTTTCCTACAAAATATTTTTATAGAGAAAAACCCTCTGACTATTGAAGCCCATAGCATTAAAGTTTCCTTTTTCACTCTTCCTGTTCTCAAAGAAATATGTGATCAATTGTTGTCAAGATATTTTTTGTTAACAAATGAGGACATTTCAAGCTGGGAAAATAGTCCAGAAGAATTTGGTAAGTTTCTCAAATATAACCTTACTTTTTCTTAAATTCTTTGAGAAATGCCACTAGCTCTATATTTTGTGTGAAATTTGTCAATTTTGAATTTATATAATTTTAAGCTGAAGAGCATACTAAAAAAAATACAAATTTTGTATAATTTGGATTGATAAAATATTTTTCTGCTTGTTAAGCTTTTGGTGCACCAAACGCTTGTAAAAGTTATTCTGTATTGAATAAATATTTATTAGAATGGGTAATTTGCCTTTTAAAATTAGTGAAATTTACTATGATTAAAAATTTTACTTTCATTTTTGAAAATAAGTGAATATCCTTTAGAATCAATAAAAGGAATTTAAATGACCTTTTGCAATCAAACAAAAGGTTTTTATTTTGATTTAGGTGAAAGAAATTTTTTCTTTTATTAAAATTTTTAAAGTTTGTATTTTAAGGAATGTATGAGTCTAAGCTTTTTATGATTGAATTTTTTTCAAACATTTAAATTTTTTTTTCAATTTAAAAATAAAACATAAATTGAAACTACTGTTAAACTTTTCATTTCTTTATCTAATAATAAAATGTAATGAAATCAAAATGTAAGTTGTTAATTCCACCAAATTAGTTCACAGTAATTTTAAAACAAACAAAAGTTTTAGTTCAATAATATTGAATATTAAATGTTTATACATAAAGTAAATGATAAAAAAAATTATTTATCTAAGAAATACTAATATTATAAGATTTGTTTAGCTCCAAAATCTGCTACTGAGCTTTTAGAATAGTTAAATGCATCATCATATCAAGTTTTTCTTTTCAGGTTTAAGAAGAACATACCCACTGTCATGAACATTTTTATTAGTATAAAATCTTAAACTTTTTAATGAAAGATTTTGCTAGCCTACTTCATAATATGTTTTGTTATCACAGTTTTACCTTTTTGTCTATTGTTTTCATGGAAATGTTACTTCTCAAAATAATAACAGTCAGAGTCAGTCAGTATTATTTTTATTTATAAAATCTCCTTTCTTAGATAAATCTTGATTTCTCTGTAATATATGCTCATATACTTGTTTAGTTTATTTATTGAATTTTTTTTTTATTAAAAGAGTGTAATTATTTAATGAAAAATACAGGAAAAACAATCCTATATATTTTATTTAAGTACACGCCTTATTATTTTCCTCTTCTTAAACGTGCCAATAAGAAAATATGTCTTTTATTATTATACAAATAGTTTGATTTATGTCAATCACGAACTTTTTATTATTTTCTTATAAGTCAAAATATTTTTAATTCTTGTTCCTTTTATTCTGTTAGCAAAAATATATATTTTTTGTTCTTTTAATTTACAGCATCTGAAGAAGGGGGTGAATCCTGGAAATTTAGTTTGCGTGTAAGTTTCTTTTCCACATTTCTTTCAATTCTTAAAAACCAAAATTTTGATTTGAAATATTAAATTTTGTTTAAATATTATTTTAAAAGAATTGAATATAAGTAAATTGAGCAGTAGAAAAAAAGGGATATAGTACTTGTGAAAATGTAGATTTTTAAATACAGTTGGCTCTCTATTTAACTATGTTAAATGGAACACGAAAAGATCTTTTTTAAGTAGAGTGCATCCATAAACAGATTTTGTAGAAAAATAGCTTATGCAAAGCTTCTCCTTTCAAACTTTTGTATTTTAATACAGTAAAATTATTTCATAATAAATTAGCATGTTTAAGGATATTTTCTTTATCTTATTTTTTATAATAGAAATACAGTGATACGAGAATTAAGTAGAATATTAAAAAAGAAGTTAAAAAGAGCAAGAACTGAATCTTTTACAAAAGTGAAACTTGTTGATTCAATTGTGGCACGTTTTAATAACTTTTTCTTCCAGTTTTTTAAGCAAATTAAAGGAGCCTTCTTCCACTAGTAGATGAGAGAGTATATCTTGTTAAAATATCAAGAGTAGTAGTTGCATCTTTATAAGAAAGCTATGGTGACCCTTATGTTATTTAATTTTTAACACCTCTTTCTTCTTCATCCTATTTGTTTATAAAGTCTTAATAAATCCTATCTACATCTCTTAACCATTTCGCGCCTAAGTAGGACACACACGCCCCAAGCAACTTTCAAAAAAATCTTATGGGACAGAAATGCTTCTCTGTCTAATGGAAGACTTTCCCACCAGTCCAGCCAATATTTTTGAAGGTATTTTCATTCACAGAACATAGATGGCACTATCGTACATAATGCTGCCCTACTCTTAGTTTATGCTACCAAAATTGTTCTGTTATAAAAAAAAAACTAGTCGCGAAAGGGTTAAATCATTTATTAAAATAATTTTGCCACAGTTTAAGAATCATGGTCTATTTATTAACTTGTAATCCTATTAACTAACTTTCAACTCCCAGAAAATTGTCTCATTGTGATAAAGAAAGAATTTATCCATAAAAAAATTTCCTCCTTAAACAGACATTCTGTAGTCCGAATGTTGAGACTTTTCTACTTTTCAACATGTAGACTAAAATAGAGTCTAGCATTAAGTAGAGTGGACCCTCAAACAAAAGTTCAACTGTAGTGGTTTCTTTATATAATTTTATGTATTTTAATTGCTACAATTTAACTTAAAAACAACTTAGGAATGAATAATTTAACTTTTCTTCTTAATTTTTAGGCAATAACTAATGCATAGAACTTGCTCATTTATTATTTCTTTCAATTATTTATTTATTTCATTAATTTTCTTTATAATTCATAAACTGTAAAAATTTATAGTTAGAAATTTTTTGTATTTTGACTCTGCTAAAGAAATATAAATATTTATGTTAATTTCAGCCATGTACAGAAGTTTTCTTTTTGACACTCTTTCATGAATTCCGAAATTTGCTCACTCCACTGGTTGTTGAAGTTTTGCAAAACAGTCAAACAACTAAAACTACAGATCTGTTTGGAATATTAAAGAAAGATGCAGGTATAATATATTTCATATTTATTTTCAAGATAATTCTTAAATCTTCTCTTTTTGTATTACTTATTTAATTTTTTTTAAATTTTTAATATTAACATTTAGATTATTAGGATTGTATATTTCTTTAGGTAAAGAACTGATTGGTTAATTTCATTATTTCTCTATATCCAATGTAATTTTGTTTTATAAATTGCTTTGGAAATTATTTATTTTGGAAATAATTGCTTTTAGAAATTATTTTGTTTTATATATAGTTCAAAACATTTCTAGAATTTTTATGTTTATGTATTTTGACTGACAAATGATTTTTTTTTAAATGTTATTGTTCAAAACACTTCTAGAATTTTTATGTATACGTATTTTAACTGAAATTATCTAAATTTTTTTTTTGATCTTACATTTTTAAAAACTTTAAAAACTGTTTCTTTATTTCTTTATTATTTAACTGTTTCTTGTTCAAAGTTCATTTTGTGAATAGTTTAATCTGGAAAATAAATGTTATATCTTATAAAGTTATGTTTGTTATATAATGCTGTAAAGTTATTCTACAAATATTTTTTAATCTATTAACTTAATTCAAAGTAAGAACAAAATTTTTTTTTTCTTATTACATAGTTAAGTATATAGATGCTTATAATTAAGTATATATTGCTAATATAATTAAGTATATATTGCTTATAATTAAATAAAAAAATATTAACTGTGAAATAAATTTGGCAATTTCAGTAGAATCTTATTTATTCCAGCCTCTATTACCCATTTACTTTTGTTAATAGGAATTGATTCTGAAATGCTTCATTTTTTCTTGTATTGCACTTAATCTTTCATTGAAACATATTAAGTTGTCAAAAAATGCTGCAAAATTGAAATTTATATATATAATTTCTGAAGAAAGTCAGTAGTTATGTTTAAAGACATATCTTATTATTAATTTAAAATGCATGCAGTTGTTAATTTAAAAATTGTTATTAATGCAAGTTTTGGAAAATAAGTTTTTGGCAATATATTTTTTCAAGGTTCCAATATTTTTATTCTTATAAATATTATTATGTAAGAGAATTCACTCCAGTTTGTTGTTTTACAGTTTATAATGCTGTTGGGCTAGCCGCTTTTGATTTATATGATGAAATTGATTTTGATGCTTGGTTTACTAATGTTCTTATTGCTGAATTACAAAACAAGGAACCTGGGTTTGTACATGGCTACTTATATTTACATCATTTTGTTCATTTAAAATAATTGACTTAAATTTAAGATTGCCATTTCATCATTGATTAAATTTATTTTTTTAAAATAATTTTTGCATTATGTGTGTGTTTTTTTGGCACTTGTAAAGGTATATAATTATTGTCTAATATAGTTAAGATTCTTAAAATTATTAGCTAGCAAATTATTTAATTTATAATTTTAAATATTGTAGTGTATTGGTTTAAAGAAATAATTTATCTATGTATAGTTGGCAAAGAAAAAAAAATGGACCAAATGACTTTTGATCTAATGATTGGATTTTCACGTTCAGGGACTCAATCGTAATAGCTCAAAAGGATGACTTCAAGAATGCTAATTAATAAGCTCAGACAATATTTTAAATATTGGAATCAGCCCAAAAAACCTTACTTTCTCCAAATAAATATGCCATTTTTTCAACGGATTTAGATTTCTGCCCCAAAAATATAGGGGTTAGTCACAAACTGCAAACTGGGAAATATGGTCACCTTTCTTTCTCAGACAAACTGATCATCATCAATTTAAAACTGGGCAAGCTTCAAACTGCTACTGAGGAGAGTGTTTTTTTTTTTTTTATAACTTAATTATCCATAATCCTCCAAAAACGCCCCTTTTAAATGTTGTTCCAAAACTGAGTTTAAAAAGAGCTGCACGATTTGGTTTGGAAAAATAATAACGATTTGTATTGCTATAAATTATAGAAAAGCTATCGTTTAAAGTAGACATAAATTATTCGAATATAAATTGTGATAAATAGATGTTAAAGCGATGCAAATATGCCATTTGGAAATTTTTTGGCAATTTAATGGATAATTTTAACAGTGAAAAGTAATCTTTTAATGTTTTAGTTTATGTAACAATAATTTTCAAATAGATAGTCTTTGAATGTTATTGAAAACATCTGTTGTTCTGTTGCAGTAAGAGAACAAGTACAAATTTTTTTTTAGATTTTAATGATAGCATTGTAATTTAACCTTATTGAAAAACAATATAGCTTGTAGTTATGATTTTATCATGAATGATTGAGATTTCAATTAATTTAATCATTTAGTAATCTGAACTTCAAACTGCCCAAATTTATTTGGCTTATCGAAGTTCCATTCTAAATTATTCCTTTCTAAATTAAATTCCATTCTAAATTGAATTATTATCATTTATCAAACTTCTTTGTACATGCTAAAATTTTATTCTAGACCATCAATGAAAGAACTCAAAATTAGAAGACATTGTAAATTGTAATGTAGTTTAATATATTTGAGGGAAAGATTTATTTAACAAAAATAATAAATAGAATATTACATCATGTACTTTTTTAACAGGTATCACATCATCAGGCGTAGGGTAATCTGGCTTATTGGACAGTGGGTTGGTGTTAAAATGTCTCCTGACATGAGACCTTTGCTGTATGAAGTCATTTTGAAAATGTTAAACAGTGAAGAAAATCTCATTGTCCGACTTGCTGCATCTAATACTCTCAAAGTTGATATCCTTTCACTTAGAATTGGTCTACTACTCAAACAAATGCTTAATCTCAGTAAAATGTAATGGGTTTGCAATTATACTCACTTGAACAAGTGAAAAAAAAAAACATTTATTTTGCTACTCCATTTCTCCCTATTAAGATTTATTTCTCTCTATTTGTATTACTGCTTTAAAAAAAAGTATTCCAAATATAATATGTAAAATTTTTAAAAAAATGTTAATATTTTTAGTGCACAAAACAGAAGTTTTTATGCTTTTACTTGTTCAAACTACAACTCTTAAAGAGATTTGGAGGTTATGTAGATTTTATAAAAGTTTTATTCCTTTTGATTATAAAGTTAAGAATATATAAATAAAGCAGCATTCTATTCATTTCCATCCCAGAAATAATAAATAGAAGACTTGCAGTCTGTCAATTTTTTTATGCAGCTCTTCTTTAGAGAAAATTTACCCAAAATTTTATTGCACATTAAGTTAAAATCATTTTAACTGTTTTGCTTGATATGAGAACCCCGACTCAGAAAATGATCAGAATTTAATCCTTTTTTTAACTCATTTGTTTCCCAAAAAATTATAATAAAGTTTATGATTCATGGTTGGGATTATGAAGAAAAAAAAATTATTTTGAATTTTGAGTACAATAAGGATTAAATTTTTTTTTCTTCTTTGATTTCCTTAGTTATAATAACATAACCTAATTTGCTTCAACTATCTCTTTGCTAACCTCTTGATTTCAACTGGTCTATAATTAGAGTTTATTTGTTTTAAATTTCTTAATTTATATTTTAAATTTTCAAATAAATTTATGAATCAAATTAAATCAACCATCATTAAGCATGGGCTTCACTTTTCCCATGCATCAAAATTATTTTTATTCACAGTACATTTTGCTTAACTTTGTTTACCTGTTGATGATTTTGAGTTCAATTCAGAACAGTTCCTACCAGTAAGTGAAACAACTTTGCTTATTTTTTGGTTTTAATTGTTATTTTTGAAATATATAAATACTTTCTGTGCTTCTTTATAATCTAATTTACTCTGCTTCTTTAATTTTTAAACATTCTTATTAAATTATTATAAAATTTGTTAGTGATTTTGTATGTCTTATAATGTTGAAATGTAACTTTTCAAAAATATTTATGCCATTTTATCTTGTATTGATAATAAAAGCATTCATTTTATATAAGGATTAGTTGTATTAGCTCGATATACAGTACAGACCAAAAAAAATTGAGTCTTTTAAAGTTTTATGTTTTTGCTGAGTCTTACCACCTTTTTATTTATAGTATAAAAGATATTATAAGGTAATTAAACTACTGAACATAATTATTCTTTACAAATTGGGATTTTTTTTGTTTAAAAATATATTCCATTTTAAAATTTTGTTTTGAGTAAAAAAATTACGCCCAGGCAAATTAAAGATATAAACTTGTTTCACCTGAAAAGCTCCACCTGTAATATGCTTAGCCACTCCAACTCTAAGATGCCTACTTTGCTCCGTAATGATTTTATTTTATAAATTTCATTGAACAGTGGACCCAAATTTTGAGTTTATGTCTACCAATGTTCAACTCTAGCCTTGTAATTTTGAATTTAATCCAGAAGACAAGAGAATTTCTGGATCAAGTAATGAGTGAAATTTGCCTTTGTGGAAAGCTTTTGAAGGAACTACCTCAAATTTGTGTTACATGGAGAGGCAAACCACAAAAATCTCTCAGGGTTAGCCTGACAAAAAGGAAACTCTAACCCATGATCCGTCTAACACTGAGAATATTTCAGTCGGTGTGGGATTTGAATCTAAGCACTTCATTGGGAGGTGAGCTCTTTATCCTCTGAGCCTCCATGGCTCAGCACATAATGATTATGCTTTGTATTTAAATAGGTAAGAAAATGTAAGCAAGCAATTCGCCATTTAGTTATCAAACTTTTGTTAAAAACTGGTAAGGTACATTTTTTGCTGAGCCCATTTTCGTAACAAGCATTACGAGCTTTGTCCCTTTTTGTAAACACACATTTTCAGCTTTCTCCTTTTTTATATGCACACACTTTTGACCTATATCCAGTTTTAAAAACTCACTGATGCTATGCTAGTCTGGAATTGTTTCTCTATTTTGTCATTTCTTTATTTTTTCACGTGAACAACTTCTCATGTTAGTGAATTAAAATAATAAAGAATAAGAAAATTAAATGGTGTATTGGAGAGTGTGAGAAAAAGAAAGCTGTTGTTTGTTCTGACTGCTTAGCAAACTCTACTAGGTTTTTCAGTAGATTACAACAGCTTACCAGGTTTAAACGGTTCTAGCTAAATCAAAACATTTTTCTAATTTTTATAAACTAAAAGAAATTTATTCCAATAGAAAAAATTATGGAAAACAAATCGCTTTCAAAATATTACAATTATTACTGACAGAAGAATCTTTATATATTACTTTTAATCATTTCCAGCCATTTATTGATTTATATTTTCCTAATTTTTCATAAAAGTTACTCTGTGCATTTGAACTCCCAATTAACTTGATTATATTTACTGGCACTAAAAATTATTTTTTTATGTATTTATTGAATACCTAGAAAAACAATGCAAGTTAAATTCTTGCAAATTTATCTGCTTCATTTTTATTTTGCTGATAACATTTCTTGATTTAATACATTCCTTGCCTTAAAATTCTGTAATCTCTCATTATTTATTTTAAATTTCTCTCATTATTTATTATATTAATTATCTCTTATTTATTTATTTTAATTATAGGATACCTGGATTGTTAGAAATTGGATAATTAGAGTTTCATTTTCTGTTTATTTATTTATTAGAGTTCAGTAGTATTCTATGCACAAATGCTCTTAGGTTATTGATTTGATCAAGCTAGCTGAGTTTTGAGATCCCAAGCACAATTAAAAATTTTGCAACAAATAATTTTCAATTGGTTAAATAAACTGTTCATATTGTACTTAAGTAATTTTCTTTTTCTTTTAGTTCCTAGAGGGTTTCACCACTGCCCTTTTTCTGCTTCTTAAAGAAGTTAAAGAGTGTGATTTAAAGGTAATTTTTTTTTAAAGAATAATGTTCAAAATATTTTTTGTTCTTAAATTTGTATGAGAATTTGAAATTTTTAAAATCATAGATATTCGTTTAATTTGTTGTTTTTGCTGGTATGAACTACTAAAAAGTTCTTTGCTTTTACTGCTATCATGATAAAGGAAGGCATTTTTTATTAACTGAAAGTATTTAGGCAATAAATGTGTTATTTGCGAAGCAATAGATTAGAGTAACATAATAAGAAATTTAGTCTTTGACTTATCATTTTGTTTTTAAATGCTTTTAAAAAATAAAATTTTTTTAAAAATCTAAGCTTAAATGTGTAAATGGGCTAGTTTTATTTATATTATTTATATTTTCTGCAGATTATTAAAATTAAAAGCAAAGCTATGATAAAATAATATCTAGCAAGAATTGTTCTTATCAAGTAATAGAAATTTCAAATAAAAAGTTCAGAACCACAGCATAAGTTTCAGATTTTTCACAGGCATTGAATTGGGAGTTTTACTTTACCAAAACTTGTATTTAAAATTTTTTAAAGTAAAGTTATATCTGATTCCAGCACTGCCCATATTAATTAACTCTTATTTAATATTTAAGGCAACACAATTTAAAAAATAAATTGAAAAAGAATGTATAAAATAAAACTATTAATAATTATTTAGCACATTTATAATACCTCATTCTCTGTGGAGTATATACTAAAAATACTGAAGAAAACTGTTAGAAAAAACTGAGCATATTCTTATTTAAGTTTAATTTTGTTATTGAATAATTTTTTTAATGCATGTATGACAGTACTAGCAAGTTTACTACCTGCCTACTGCTACCAAATTTTTTTATTTTTAACATTACTTTATTTTCGGAAATGTTTCGTTTTAATGACATCGAAAGTTATTGCAATTGACACTTATAAAAAATTTTAACAATAAGGAGAGAGAGAAACTATATTGGTGTCATTAAAAACTTAAAATGATAAATAAATAATGTTTATTCTGAAATTCCAATCATGATAACAAATTAAATATTAAATCTTTACAATATTGGTGCTTTAACATGTTGCTTTAAAAATGTTAATTTTATTGGACTATTGGTTATTATATAGTATAATGGTTTTATTTGAATGTTTCAAATATTTATTTGAAGCTTTTTTTAAGTGATATAATTTGAAACATTAAACGAATAATGTATTTTACCTTATTCTTCTAGATGTCGATACTTCATGTGATATCATTTGTGGTAGAGCGAATGGGTAGTGAAATTAGACCGCATGCTGAAGCTTTGTTGCATTATCTACCTCAGTTATGGGACACTTGTGGTGATCATAATATGCTTCGCTGTGCTATTATATCTTGTTTTGTTCATTTAGTCCAGGTAATTGTTTATCTTTTATACTTTCTTCTTATATATAGTTCTTAAATAATAGTCTAATCTAAAAATAATAGTTATCATTATGAAAACTGTTTATTTTCATTATATTTTGCTATAATTCTTTTTTAATAATCAAGACATCAGCATTGAATAAAAAATATGGTGCTATGGAATTTAATATTGCAAAAATGAATCCAAAATCAAATTGTGGGAAAATAAGGTTGTTAAAGCAGTATTTAATTATAACTTAAGCCAGTCTGTTCATTAAAATATAATTAATAGCATCTAACACCAGTTAAAATGTGTTGCTTCACGAAGGAAGTTTCAGTTAAATAGTTTTAAAAAAATACTAAAATATTGGGAACATTATTTATTGGATTTATCAAAAAAAATATTTACACTTTGATGAATTTTTATTTTTTAATTATGATTTTATAAATTTATTGTAATATAAATTATCCAATTTTGTTAAAGAGCAATTTTATTTGAAGAAAAATATTTATTTGCCTTAACAGGTTAATCATAACAGGCTAATAGCAGCAAGTTAGCATCTGAATATTTTTTCTTTTCCTCGTTATACAATTTTTTTTATTTAAAATAAGATGATTAATGCCAATAAAAGTTTACAACATTTAAACTCCCATTTCTTGAAGCATATTATTTTTCAAACTGCGATGTACTTTTTTTCTTCTCTTTAATACTGTTCTTTGAAATCAAAAAGAAATTAAAAAATTATTTTTTATTTAAGTTTAAGGTAATTTTTCTCAGTAGAAAAACAAAACAAAATCAAATCTGTCAGAGTTTGAACTATTCGGCTTAAAATTGTTTTCCTCAAAAAAAATGCCCTGTCATAAACATAAAGTATTTATTACAATAGTTTTTCTAGATGTTATCCAACTTATTTTAAAACTCTGGTGTTGGTTGTTCTTGAATTAAGTAAAAATAATTCAAATAAAATAAATAAATAAATAAAATTATTAAACCAACTGAATTTTTTTTCAGGATAAAGAAAAGTGGTACAGGTTATGTGTTTTTACAATATATAGAGTATTAAGAATGTATTCTATACAACTTAGTGAAGAGTTCTTTTTAAAGCTTTTGTTTAAAAAAAACTATTAAAATTTCCTCAATGTTTAAAGCACTTTACTGATTATGCTTATGAACTTTAATGTTAATTATTGAGTTTTTAAATTATACACAAAAGTTATAAACTCTTAAAACTTATGCTATATAAATAAATGCTTTTATTTTTGATGTATCAGTTTATTTATTATTGTAAAATTTTGTTTCAGGGTTTAGGGACTTTAAGCGAGTCGTTGCAGCCTTTATTAGTTCCTATGATTGCCTTAAGTACAGATGTACACCAACCCCCTCATGTTTATTTATTGGAAGATGGATTAGACTTATGGTGGGCAATTCTTGATAACACGTCTGTTTGTCCTGATGAACTCTTAAAACTTGCTTCTCATCTATTCCCCTTGCTAGGTATGTCATTTTGATGCTAATAGAATATTTTTAATATTGTTTAAAATTAATGCTTTTGAGATTGTTATTGATTTTTGATGTCACATACATTTAACTAATGAGTGGAGAAAGGCTCAAAGAAGCAGTTTAATAATTAAGGGCATTTTTTTAGAGTTTATGTATTAGCAATAGGAAACAAAGATCAAGTCTAGAAAATTTAGATTCCTCAAGCATCCGTTTGAGAAATTTTGTACATTTGTAGCACTCATATAAATTGTTCATTTATCAACATTCACTTAAATTTGCTACTAAAACACAGGTTTCCTGAATTACTTGTCGTTTGTTTGTCCTTGCACTTGCAACTTTCTTCTACTGCAAAAATGCACTTGCAACTTTCTTCTACTGTAAAAGAATCTATAGTTCATTCGCCAGGAGTTGGCACTTTTCTCCGCCTACTGGGACGAAGAGTTTATTTCAACGCAGGTCTAAAAGGAGAAATGTTTTCCTGCTTGAAATTGAAACAACCCTTTAGTATGCGTCAAACGCAAACAGTAAATTCTTTTTCAGTCACTTACTCCGCTTTATCATCTGCTATTATACCTTTTGTTACTCTAGCTAATTAAATATATTGCAGCAAAATATCTCGAAAAGGACAAACTATTCACTCAAAAGAGAGAAATATTATTAAATTTATGAAATATTTAATGTTAAAAAAATGCACATAAGGATTGCAAAATAAATAATTATATAACAACCAAATAGCAACCTTGTTCGTATCCTTCTCCCAAAAATAACGAAATGGTATTGCCGGATACTACATGATAAAGGTGGAGTGAAGGGCCAACTCCTGGTGAACGAACTATACTAAGATCTTTGACATTTTATTAGTTGGTTAAATAAATTAATGTTTATTATTAAATGAAACTAATATTAGATCTTTTCCTGAGAAATATGAACCTTTTAAAAATGCAATGTGTATCTTTCTTCTTCTGAATTCTTTAATTATACTTAAATTCTTAATCTGAACCAAATGTGTATCATATGTATTTCTTCTGAGTTTAGCATTGCAAAAAAAGGTATTAATATCTAAAGTAAATTTTTTATTTGTTTGAGATATAGTTATAGAACATAAAAATTTATATCATGGTAACTTTTTGTGTGATAAGCTTTTTTTTTTTAATTAGGTATCATTATAATTACATTGTATGTACTTAACACTGTAATTGTATAGTACATACAATACTGTTGTATAGCTACAATGTATTGTATGCTCTATTGTATAGTTTATATTTACATTGTATACAATGTTTATTTAACGCTTAAAGGAAAACAAATGGTACAAAAATGGTGCAAGTTTCATTTGGACTATATTTTAAAGCTGTTTAGAACTCATTTTATATATATTTAACATTTTGTTTTAATAACTTTCATTCATTTTGAATGACACATGATTTTGAAGTATCTGTACTAAAGCCGTACCTTTTGTGGTGGATATCCTGCTATTATGACAGTTCTTATTGTTTGCAATGGTTATGAAATTGTTATCTCAAATAATGGTGTCGTTTTTCCTTAGTTGCAAATTGGTTGTAATAAAACATGGAGATGATTTTTTATTAATGGCAATATTGTATTTTTCAGAGTATAAAGGTGATTCTCTTCCTCCGTGTATACGTATTGCAGAAGCCTATCTTTTGTTGAACCCTAAAGATTTTCTCAAGGTAAGTTTAATATTATAATTTTTTTTAATAAATACAATGATAATTAAGCAGCACATACAAATTAGAAGCCATATGAAAAATTAACTCTGTTTTGATTATATTTATATTAAGATGGATTTTCATTGAAAGTTTTTTAATTCCTTTACTATATTTTAATACAAAAAATCACATTCTTGTTTCAGTATTAATTCAAAAAAAGAATATATTTTTATTGGTATGGCTGCATATTATATGGTATGCCACCATACCAGTATATTAATTATATATATATATATATATATAGTTTACAATANAAGATATATATATATATACATAGTTTACATTAAAAGTTTTTTTTTCACCTTTCTATAATGTTTTTGCATTAAAAAATTTATATTCTTAGTACGGAATTTATAAAAATCATATCGTTTGTAATTAGGTATATTTTATCCTTTATTTGTAGATGAAAATTTGTTTCCTTTTCCTTTAATAATTAATTTAGTACACTATTTTATTTAATATTAATTTAAAAAATGTATCATTAATGCTTAAATAAGAGGCATTATTTTCAGAAAAGACATTCATATTGATATTTCCAAGTAAATTAATTTTATCAATTGTTGTTATATGTTTTTCTTTCTTTTTCCCCCCCAAAAATCTAAAACTCTTGTTTCATGCTGCTAGCTAACAAATGTTTCCTTTAGTTTATTCATTGTTATTTTAACAATTAATTTTGATCTGGGGTGCACAACCTTTTTGACTAAGGAGCCACTTGCATAACAGGTTGACTAAAGAAGGGCCGCTTGTATATTTAGTTATATGGGGGGCAAATATGGTAAACATTAGTGTTTTAAGCACTAAATATGTTTATTGGTAAACTAACTATGAAAAACCTGATACTATTTTTTTTTTAAAAATTCCCTTTTTGTCAATAATTGATTTATTAAAAAAATTTTATATATATATATATATANTTGAAACAAAACACGCATTATATATATATTAATTGTTTTTAGAATATTTATATATATATTCAATATCCTTGTAGATAATCTACAATGACTATCTACAAGGATATTTATTTAAACTTTAAAAAATATTTTTTTCTACACAAATAGAATCTATGAAATAGTTAGATATTAATACATAATTCTAGATGTAGCTACAGATAAATGAATATAATTTTCCTATTAAAACAGATATTCAAGTTAGTCCTATGATACCAATTAAGAGCTTTTAATCCTCAGTCGGTTTCAATTATTAGGTTTACACCCCCTAACTCCTTCCTATCACTTGATAGGAAATGTTGTTAAAACCTCTTTAAAAGTAAACCTTCTGTGATTTACAGAAAACAAAAGAAATCAATGCTTACCTGTAAAGTATGAGGACCTATGGAGTTGATATATTCACAATTAATCATCTATCAAGTGTCTGAATAAATGTTTTATTTATCTCAACTACTATATTTCTATTATCTTTTTTAACCCCAGCCGTGTTAATTACAGTCTTCAAATTTATAAGAAAATGAAAGAAATTTTCAATGGGGAAGAAGCGTTGAGAGCATTTAAGATGTCATTTCAGCTTGTGGGATCTCATAACCTGTGTTGTCCAGATGGAAAGATCAAAAGATATCGCTCTCCAACTGAGCAGTATCATTTTCTCTCCTTTCTTTTCAAAAATAAGGCAAGGTGATAGGAGAAAGATTAATTGTTAACTAGTGAAATAGCTTAACAATATTTTTAGTTATGGATTTTTCAAATTTAGAAAAAATAGTGTCCAGTTTAAAGAGATAGAAAATAACGTTTTAGGGTAAAAATGAATGTCCAGTTACAGGAGTGTCCGCTTTGCTGTTAATGTACGTAATACTTTGTTTATGGAAGATTCACAGGGAATTAAAAATATGTCCATATTGAGAGGCATCCATTTTGCAGGAGTGTCTATACACACACATATGTATATATACATACATACATACATACATATAAATTTGGGAAAAGAAATATAAATTCTAACAAAAAAAAACCCCACTTTTTCAACTGTTATTGCTATGAAATTCTGCATGGTTTAAAAATAAAAAAACATGCGTATTAAAAATATTTATTTAAAAAAAACAAAAAAGAAAAAAGCAGATTTTCGTAGCAATAAACGCTGAAAAAGTTATACATAAACAACTTAGATTTACTATAGAATCTCTAGAAATTGAGCGCACCAGAAAGTGATGACTCAAATTTTGCGACATTTTTTTATCAAAAAATTTTCTTTTTATTGTGTTCAGAACAATCTGCAGGCCGCTTGCTGTTTACCCCAACATTATTCTGTATTTTATTGAACTTTTATTGTGATCTTAAAATTTATTATTATCTGAAAATTAGTTTTTGAATTGAATATTTATGTGCTTAATATCTTTGTAGAATTATGGCCAAGCACTAGTTGAAACATTCCACGGCACTATTAAAGACATGAAGTCTGAGGGTGTTGATATGTTACTAAAGGTTAGTTTCTCTATGTTTTTATTTATACAAATTTTTATTTTATTATCTGAAATCTGCTAAAATTGTAAGTCGTTATTTAATTTTAGGTTGTTGAAACTGTGTTCATTTTATTCCCGGAGGATGGTCCAGTGCTATTTGAACCATTATTGCCTTATGTGTTGACTTTAGCCTTAGATAAATATGTAAGACTTTGTAGTATTTGAAGAACTTATTATGTTACTTTAGTAACATGTTTGTTGTATGCATCAGTAGTTAGCATCAGCAGTTAAATTATTGTTACAATAAACAGTTTAAACACTAAAGGCTTAAGGATTAATGTGTTTAAATTCAAATAACTTTTTAAAATTTAAACTTTTTAAAAATTATTATTAAAATTATTAACAACTTTTACGTTGCAATATTCAGTTTTGCTTCTATATTTATTACCTACTACTTTTTTTTATTGTAAACTGAATTTAGATTCACCATTTCTCCTTAATAGTTATGTTTTTGATTTTTTTAAACTTAAATTTATTAAACTTTTTATAACTTTTTAAATTTATATATTTCTAATTACAATTTATTTATTACTTTGTTTCTGCATTAAAATTTAAATTTTTGAAGAAATATCTGAAAATAACTTTCAAAATAACAATTTTAAAATGTATATCTTTTTTTAGTAAGTGAATTTAAAAATGTAAAGAAATTTATAGTACCCTATAACTGCGTTTAAACTCTTATTAGTCTGTGTTTGGCCTATATTTTTTAAATTGCTCAATCAGAATGTAATTTAAGCTGTATATAAAATAGCTGTATTTTTTACTGAATATAACCACTTTAAATTTTTTTATGCCTGTGACTCCTTTTCATGGGTCAAATGGTTTATGTGACCTTATCAGAGATGATTGTGCTCCGGAAAAGTTAGGAAATTTAAAAATGTTTCTTAGTTAGGAAATTTAAAAATTTAAAGAAATTTATAGTACCCTATTACTGTGTTTAAACTCTTATTAGTCTGTGTTTGGTCTATTTGTTTTTTAAATTTATCAATCAGAATGTAATCTTAGCTGTTTATATAAGTAAGGTTTGCTGTTTAAATGAAATATTGCTGAATATAACCACTTTAAACTTTTTTTTTGCGTGTGACTCCTTTTCACAGTCAAATGGTTTATGTGATCTTATGATCTTACTTGCATATATGTCCTTATATGTATATAATAAAATTTATAATCTTATACCACTCTTGGCTGAATAGCAGCGACTCGGATACATTGTCGCAGAACATTACAGAGTTCTTGCTGCAGGATTTTCTTTTGAAAAGTAAAAGAAAATTACTTTTCTTTTCTACAAAAATTTGCACGTTACATTTGAATCAGGCATTTACATAATCACTTTTTGATGAGCTTAATTTACGACGATAGTATTGTAAATCAATGTCATGTTTCGAATGTACGGCAGTTATTGATATTGATTTTCACATGGATTTTAAGTATCCTGATATATTTGAAACAATATGGAAAATTCGAAAAGTGCATTTCAGTATTTACTTTTTAAGGCAATATTTCTATCAAATTTTTGGCAGTTATTGCTATTGATTTCTACATAGTTTTTAAATCCAATATTTTTTATGTGATATTATTTATTGTAACAACCTTCCTTAATCTTGAAACAAAACACGCATTTGAGGATCCCAATTTGCTTGATTTTGTCTTTTTTCCCCGACAATTACTACTACGGATTTCATAATTTTTATTTTTTTTTTTTCATTCTGATGATTATTTGCAAAATGTGAAGAAGGAAATAATTTTTGTGTCCCTCTCCCACAAAATGCGAGAATTTTATCCATAATATTGTAATAAGAAATTATTATATGTTTTATTAAGAAAATTATGTAGTTTTTTGTAAACGCAGCGCTTTTGTTATTTTAAATTTGTAACATATATGTTGGTTATTATTAAAAGTATTGTGCAGAAAGATATTAGTAATAGAGAATTTTGTCACAGATAGCTCAAAAAAAAAATTCTGCCACAGGGCTTACACCTGTAAAAATAACTGTTTAAAAACTAAAACTCAGTAAATTTTTCTATTCTTATTTGTTAGAAATTTTATAGATTTTATTTAAATAAAAAGATTTTGAAAATTATTGTAAAATTTTTTGTAAAAAAAATAGAAAATTATGAAGCTAACTTTTGTGATGAAATTCTGATAAATGAAATGCCAGAACTATTCAATTTATTTGTGATGAAATCCTTTCTTTGGAATTGAAAAATCTTTATTGAAAATAAAGCATTTGAAATTAATTTTGGTAATGAAATGAGGAAATTTCTTCAGACGACATATCAAAATCTGTTTCTATAACATATTTTTCTTTTTTATATCTAAAATAATTTGAGGTATACATTTCTTGTTGTTATATGTCTAATTTTGTTTACTTGCTGATTTCCTTGCTTAGTTTTTCTTTTTATAATTTAGGAACTGCCTTTGAGTTCAACTATTCAATTGAGTATTTTGTCCAGAGTTATATTACACAACCCAAACTGTTTTAGTAGAATTTTACAAGCAAAAGCAGATGAATGCCGAAAAGATGTAAGCAAAATTTTTTTTTTTTTCTTTCACCCTTACATTTCATAATCTAGCTTTAAAAGCTTTTTTTATTAAATTAAAAAGAAAAATAGCAATTCAAAATATTTTTGCATTCCAATCAATTATGTTATCAAAGTTATTTTATTGATTATGAAATTATTTTGTTAACTTTAATTCGTTAAATTGAAGATTTTATCGTGAGGAAATAAGATAAATATATGATACTTAATGATTCCTTTACTACTACCTAATGAATAATTAATGCTTCTATAGTACTTCATGATTCCTTCCTTTGAAATAAAAGTTTTTTTGTTTTGTTTTGGCAGTTATCAGTTATTTGAAGTTTTACATATAGTTTTAAGATGCTCTAAAAATTAATTGTTAACAAATTATTTTCATTAAAAAATATTTACTCAAAATTTCAACTTTCTTACTTTTTTAAAGAGAAAAATATTTAAAAATCTATTAATCTTGTGAAATTGGCAATTTTTGTTTTGTGACAATAATTATTCTCAAGAACCCATAAAAGGCCTTACTGTGTATTTATCACCATTAAAATGCTTTTTTCCCCCTTCAACTAATTGATCAATCCTTTTACATTACACAGTGAAGTATGATTTGTGATTGTTAATTTTTAAAAAATAGTCTGTAATCATTTCTTTCATTTTTGTGTTCAATGCAACTGAAGGTGGGGAGCATCCTAGATGATTTTCTAATATTATGGCTTGAAAGAATGCCTCTTGCAAATCCTATCCAGAGGAAGAAACTTCTTGGATTAGCTTTAACTTGTCTTCTGACTTCTAATATGAAGTAAGTTTTTTATTATTTTTTTTAGAATGCTACTGGCTAGGGTCCGTTCACTATTATGAACTGTTTCTTCATGTGCCTCTGAACATGTCATAATAGTAAAGCTCTTCCAGCTGCATGCGAAGACGTATACTGCCACGTTTTTCTATGTAGTTTTAGTCCTGATTGTGTGTCCTACTTCCCATAGAAGTTTGTTACAACATTTATGTGACCCTCTGTTTTATATAACGTTTATAAGCTTTTACTTTTCAACAGAAAATGGACTGAAAATGTCATTAAAAGAAAGTTGCGTTAGGAGAAAAACTAGTTTCTGATTTAAAAACCCCACACCCGAATAAGGCAAGATCAAGTATTTGTATAAATACAACAAAAAATTTGTTCCCAAGTGGTGGACAACTTTTCATTATTACTTTACCATGACTAATAACAGGGATTCCATGGGATTTAAAAACTGCTTAATTTTGGAAAATAAGGGCTCTTTAAAGTACTTACTTTTGGTACAAGGTTTAAAGTCCTTAATTTTTCAGCCTCACTATTTTCAGCTATTGGAACAATTTTTCAGTTTAATTTTTTACAACAAAAAGTCGTTCTTTTATCACCTAGAATTAGACCATGCATCAAAGGGAGGGAGTTTTAGGGAGAAAAGTGTGTGAGGGGGCAACCGGCAAGGGGAAGGAAGCATGACTTTTCATTAATATATTTGTTCTTTCATTAATATATTCTGCCTTTTGCCTAGAATAATACTCTATGATTAGAGTAAATCAATCTAAAAGAAAAGAATACAGTGTGGACAAAGGGGTCACATGGAAGAGATAGTGCTTTTTTTTGGGGGGGGGGGGAGCTAGGGTACCTAAGTAGAACTGACCTTGAAAGACGTCAGAATTAAAGAAATTGAGTTCTACTGGAAATGCCTCTGCTTATAGAAATGAAGTAAAGTCCTAAGAAAAGAAGTATCAGAATTCTTTTTTAAGCAGAGTCTATATCAAAAACTATTTCTAAAATTCTTGAAGAATTAAATTAATTTGTATAATATTTCAATGTGTGATAGGTAACTGTAAATTTATAGAAAGCTGTAACATTTTTTAAAATTCACGATGCTGTTAAAAACTAAACTTATCTGTAAAACAGTGTCTGAAAAATCACAGCCCACCTAGGTTTTTCATACAAAACCTGGGATTTATTGAGTTTTTGATGAAAATACTGTTTTTTCTGAAGTACTTTAAATTTCTATTCCTGAGTACTAAATAAGAATACTTGTTTTGCTGCTTACAAAAAAGTTAAATATTTGGTAACTATTTATAACTTGTTTTGTTGCAATGTAAAATTTTTTTCCTTCAAGTTTTAAATTCTTTTGCTATTATTTTTATTTCTTAAGGATAAACAGATTGTTGCTTAAAAATTTAAATCTACTCACTTAACTTTTTGTTATTAATGTCTAATAGAATAAAATTCCAGCTTACATTTTAATAATCATTTTATTCAGTTAATATTGCAACTTAATATACTGTTTTTTATTAACTTTTGGCTGCTTTAAAATTAGTTCATGTTTTTTGCCAGATTGTTTAGTAAATATTATGTAAAATTAAGTCCTAATATCAGTTTTGGATGGAAATAATTTTATACAAAGCTTATCATAAAAGTAAATATAACAGATTTTCTGTTTAGTAATAGTTTCAAAATGGTTAAGTTACAAATGTTTTTCATTAATATTTTTTTACAAAACTTTACCTGATAAGGTGATATTACAGGTATACTTTATAATTCAGCTTTCGGTTTAAACTGTTAATCTGGGATAAAAATAAAATATCAAATCATAATAATGGTAGAGAATAATATTGAGAATGATAGAGGATGATAAAGAAATATTACAAATAAATATCTATAAATGATCGTGGATTTAAAAATAAATAACTTATCAGTATTTGTTATATAAGAAAACTTACAAATTTTCTGACAATAGAAATGTATTGATACCTTTGAAAAATTGTTCTAGACCCTTTCATTTATATGTTTCCCTGAGAACTAATAAAAAACATATTGGTGCAAAAATTATAAATTTTCTCAAACATAATTATATTTTTATGTTATAAAAACTTTCATAAAGATATTTATTGCAATTAATTTCTTTTTTAAATATTAAATTAAGCTTAGTGAAAAAAAATGGAATGATTTAAGGTGCATGGATAAGAAAGGTAAATAATTGGCCTTGCCACTGGTTCTTGATTTTTCCGAAAAGTCTTTAATTTTTTCAAAAGAAGTCCCTGAAAGTGCTTAATTTTTGCTTTGTTAAGAAGAGTGGAAACCCTGCATAATGTGTTTTATTAAAAACCAAAAGTTAAAATTTTTTTTTATAGTCTGCTTTTTGCACTAATGAGTGTTTGTTGTCCAACCAGAAAATTTTAATCCTTTTTATTTTACTCTCTAACTTTGACCTAAGATCACCTAGACCTAAATCGTTAAGAATTATAAATATTGATTTCTATATTTCTGCCTATTGTCAGTTGTTTTAAATCATTAACTTGAACTGGCATAAATAGAATACTAATACATTTTGTTGAACTATTTTTTCAGCGCTGTTCATGAAAAAATATGTGGAATACTTTTAGCTGTTGTTGAAGTTTTATATGATATTACAAAAGTTAATAGAGAAAACTGTTCTGGATCTGATGAGTGAGTCTAATAATTTTTCTGTTTTGATCATTTCACATCTGATGTAATTTTTATCATCCTGGAGCTTTATTACTGAAAACTTAAAACAGAGTTTTTGTAATTTTGTGGGCTAAATGTGCCATTAAGAGTTACAAATCTTAATGTTATGATAGAGGTCATCCAAACTTTGTGCACTTTGTAATTCAAATTTCTAGTTTTTGATTGGGTGGAATTGTTTTCACCAATTTTAAAATGTTTCCATTGATTTAACATTCAACAATGTAAAATCCAAACATTCTTTTAAATTGCTTACCAATGAGAATACCAGGATATCAAATACATTCTAGAACAGCAGTTCCCAAATAGTGTTCCACAGAACCCTAGGGTTTTGTAGAAGCGGTAAAGGAGTTTCGTGAGTCAGGATTGCATAGCTGCCAACTGTTCTAAATTTTTTGGATTTGTTCCTAATTTTTAAATCAATTCTGAAATTTTTATAAAAAATCTGAATTTTCATAAAATTGCAGTATATTTGCTTTTAAACCAATCCCGTATTCTGATAGCCGCAACCACGCTTCCTGTGTTTATTGTGCTGAGGTAATTTTTAACAGCTTTTTATTAGAAAATACTATTCCAATAGCTGTTGCGGATCATTTCACTAAGATGAATCTTTAGAAACTATTATTATTTTTTTAAAAATTTATTGTAGTATTTTTACACTTGCATCAGAAATATTTGTTTGTGATGCAGATTATTATTTACCTGTGTTTTATAATTTTGGGAAGAATAATTGTGTATTAATAGGTAATGGTTGCTTCGAAATTATTATACCGGTATTCCTTATTATAAAATATTAATATTATTAATTTCCCACAAAACATAGTGTTTCTAGTTTTGTTTTACTAATTTACATGCGGTATTTAAATATATGTCTATTAATGTTATTATTTAATAGTTAAATTTTGGTCTTACTCTCGTAATTTTTGCCTATTATTTTGTCGCATATAGTGTTCCTAATTTTTGATTCCTAAGGTTGTCAGCTATGGGATTATTTTTAACCATTTTTTTATTATGTTTGTTATTATATTTAGATCCAGTCAATAATCTATTATTCATATAATATTTCGATTGCCTTTATCCAATTATTTAAAATATTGCAATGTATTGAGCATTGCATTTTAAAGCAATGAAAAAATAAAATTCTTTTTTCAAAGTAAGCATAATTTTTCTAATAACAATGTATTACTTTATGAAGTTGAGATTAATTTAAAAAAATTCAAAATAAAAATAATTAATTGGTTAATAAATAAGTTTTCCTAGTAGCTATTTATTAAAGTTCATTGCAGTTCTTTTTAGTTTTCTTGCCTATTTTATTCATTTTCAGTTTATAAACACCAAAAATGAATTCATAACTAGACTACATTCAACTCCAAATCTGAATTAAACTGTGGGACATAATACCTAAATTAAAAGTATTTGTGATAAAACATTGTACAAATTTCATTTCTCTTTTTAAGCATTTTCAAAGGAAAGTATTCTCTGCTAAGTTAATAGGTTTGCAATTGTTTTTATATACTTTATTTATAAAGTCCCTGAAAGAATGTTGATCACTTAGGGTTCTTTAGCTATAAAAAATTTGGAATCACTGGTCTAGACTAATCATCTGGAATTTGCGGTACTAATATTATTGCATATATATGTTATCTTACCGATTTTCTGGATCAATAAAATTAGCAATTATTAATCAGCTATAAGAATAATTTTATATAGTAACTTAAACATTGACATAACATAACTTAAGATTAATTTTACCTAGACAAAAAAAGTATTTTGGAAGAAAAACTGATTTATAGTCCAAAATAATTAATCCAACTCCTGGCAGATAAAAGAAAAAGACCAACTTTATAATTGTTCCAGTCCTGTAATATTGTCTATGCATAAGTACATAAAGTATTCTACAGTAAGAATTTTTCTTTTTATGAATATGAATTAGAAATTTTGCTCTTTGATCTGTTTCATAACCTGAAACATCAGGCAAAAAATACAATTCATGCACATTTTGAGTTAAAAATATTGTATGACTAAAAGTATAAAACCAACAAAATATGTTTTTTTTATAGTTGTTTTACAGTAAAACAGTAGTTTTTACTATAAAATCAAGCACAAAAATTTAAAGCTTAACTTTAATTATAGCTATTTCCTATTCCAAAACATGTCCTAAAATCATTTCCTTTGAAATGTTTTGGTATTGTATTACTTGTATTGTTTATGTATTACTTTGTATTGTATTGTTTGAGTTCATATGCAGATAGTTTTATTTTTATTTAGTTGACTATTTATTTATCAACAGTACTTTAAAGTGCCACTTTAAATGTTATATAAATCTTTAAAAGTAATTTAAATTTTTTTTTCTTTTTTAACATTTGTATGAGAGGGTTAGGATATTCCGTCTCACCATAGTATGTTAAACATTCAAAATTTTATCCTGTTATTTGATATCATGACTATCTCTAAACTTTTAAAAGTGAAATACGTATCAGAAACTTATGTTTCATGCAGGAATGTTTAAAAAAAAGCTTAATTCAGAAATAATTGGGATAAAGCTGGGAATCATTTTAAAGTTGAGCTTTAGGCCCGAAATGTACAGTTTGCCATTCCTCCAAGGGGAGCTTTAGTCACCATTTACTAAGGTGGAGAAATGGTCAAAAATGGAATAAAGTTAACTTTAGTATCTAGACAAATGAGGTATTTTTCTGTTTTTTTTCTTCTATTTATGTTGAAATTGTATGAAATCAAAACAATGTGAATAGAGCTAATACTTTAAAACTTTATCAGTATTGCAGTTTTCAGTAAAGAAGTTTAATCAGTAATGCATAGCTATTCAGACAAGTGAATTATAATTTCGTATGTATTATTTTTTAATCGAAATGGAGAGAAAAAGTTGATGGTTTAAGTATACATGATGTATTAAATAAAATACAATTTTTTTAGTTATGTGTCGGATATTCTAAGTAAAATCTTTGTTTACTCTGAATCAAATGTGACTAACAGAGCTAATAATTAAGAACTTTTTTGAGTTTTCAGTATAATTCTTAACTTAGATGTATTTACACATAAAGCAGTTATAACTGTTGTTTCTTTTAGTCCTATTGATGTGCTTTTAGTTTCTTTTGATTCAGTGTGAAAAAGCACATTGGAAACAATACCTGGCTTGTCTAGACAGGTATAATATATATAACAGGCTGTGTAAATATATATAAATCCAAAAATGAACATATGTTTCATGTTTCAGAACTTTTAAAATAATTGTTCTATTAACTTGATTTTGGTTTTAATTGATTCAATGTAAAAAATGCATAAGAATCATTACCTCACATGACTAGATAAGAATAACAAGCTTATAAATAGGCATAACTTAAAAAGATAATTTTTTTATATTCGGTACCTACTAAATAAATAGCTTTCCTTAATTCCAGCCTTCTCCTAGTTATTTCTTTACTCAATGATGTAGAAACCGTCTTATCTTACATAGCTTCAGTAATTTCCATCTATTAATTAGTAGATTAACTGATGGCAAGTCTTGAATTATTGATAACCTACTTTTATAATCGAAATTAAATGTTGCATTAATTGAAGAGGTGACTAGATGAAAAAATTTACTTTAAAGTTTATACAAAGACAATAGATAATTTGATGTATGAATTATTCACATTCTACACCCATTAATTACTTACAGTTGCCATTTTACAATTCAGTCATTCTAAGATGGAACATTTTTACACTGGGGGATTTTTTGCAAAAATAATAATAAATTGTCATCAAATAATTTTGTCCAAAAGAAAATATTTTAATTATTAAAGGCATAAAAAAATCTAATCTATTTTAATATATATATATTTTTAAGTTTAAATTATTATTTTTTCTGATCTTTTTTACATAGTATGTTGGTCATTAATCCAGGAGAAATATCTGATCTAGATGAAGAAATTGAAACAGAACAAGATAAAAGAAAACGGGAGGTAATACTCAGTATATTTTTATACAGTTAGTGTATCAATTATGTGTTTAGTATTAGAATTAAATTAACTGAAAAGTAAGTTAAATTTTTACAATAATAATCTCTAATTACAGTGAAGTCACTGACAAAATGTACACTTATTACGATTATTCTACAGATAAATTTTGTTGTCAGTTTATAAAAATTTTAAACTGTTTTTACTTTTTTTAACAGTTAACATTATTGGATCCTGTTTATACAGTGGTATTGAGAGATTATTTATACAACCAAGTAATGGCCTTACAGCAATCAGTAGGTGCTACAAAATTTCAAGATCTTATGTCTACAGTTGATGTTGAAACCATGGATGAATTGCAAGTCTACCTAAAGCAATCATAAAATTGTAAATGCAATACTTTTTATATGAGCATGCTAAAGAATGAATCATGTAAATAAGGAACACGTGGGACGATCATATTATGAAATATTGAGTATGAAATAAATCTAATTTTTACAGTTGTTTTTAATGATAGGAATATTTTTTGTGCCATAAAAAACAATCAAAAACTTAAATGAGAACAGAAACATAAATGTTTAAAAGAAGGATATGTGCACTGACAAGTTTAAATGCAATTTATATCATCAATTGTTTGTTAACTTATTCTTTTTGAATTAAAGCAAGCGGGTTGTCAGAATTCTTTTAATCCGTTACAATTTTTAGTAATCTCTTAATATTTTTTATTTGCAATTTTGAGCTTTTTTTTTTCTTTGGGAATTATTTGTATGTAAACTTTTATGTTAAAAGTTAATAGCATCTTTATCATCATTAACTAGTCGACACTTATTTTCCTTTCATTGCTCATTATATTTTATTGTGTTTAATTTTTGTTTTGTTGAAGCCAAAAAATTTTGAAAAATAAATCTTTTTTATGAGTTTTGCTTCTTTACTCTAAAGTTGCTCCAAAGGACATGCCTCGCAATTCTCCTATTTTTTCTATAATTTGGGAAAAGTCTTGTATTTCCTATTTTTTCTTTTGATGTTCATCATTCAGACTGCTAACGTAAAATCCCACCCAGAATATGTATACCTTTTAAAAGTGTTCATTTTTGGTTTGGAATGCCTTTCATATCTTTCTTATTAGTTATTTCATATCTTTTCTTTAAAATGATTGCCCTAAATAAAACAGTGCTTGCATTAAAAAAAAATTATAATTCTTAAAGAAAATTCATAGATCTCTAATATTTTCAAAAATTTCCAGTTATTTTCCTAAAGAATTTCTAAATTTATTTACTTTAATTTATCAAGCTTATGAAATTGCAGGCTAGTAACATTGTTATTGAAATGCTTACATTTAGTCTTTTTTTTTTATTGGACTTTGTTTATTTCAAATACAATATCTGCTTACAACCACCCTTGGACAGTTGTAGTATAGATAATTTAGGCAAGTGGTTCCCACAAAATGTTCAACACAACCCTAAGATTTCATAGAAGGATGATAGGGATCCATGGAGTTAGGATATTTTTAACCAAAGAAACAATGAATAAATATGTTTAACTGAAGCTGACGTCTTTAGGGAGTACAAGATACAGAAGTCATAAAAGCAAATCCTTTTCTATCAAGAGAGCACGACAAATGTCTAAAATTGCTCTCACGTACCTTAACCCACTGACGGTTCTGCACGTAAAAAGTCGCATTTTAACTTGCAGTCTTCTCTGCATAGCAAAACCGGCTTTTCCATGTTAATTGACAGGGGAGCTGTGTGTAGGGGAGAAACATTCTCCCAATTTTGCCCATTTCCTTAACCGCCAGTGGGTTAAAGGTTTTGCAAAAGTCCAGGAAGAGAATAATAGGGCAAGATCAAGTCTTGATCGAACTGCCCCAGTCAAGCATTTCTATTAATGATGTCACTATTTTCTCTCTCTTTTTTTCCTCCTTCTACGCAAATTAGGGGGGGGTTGTTTTTATGTTTATTTCAATTTAGTTGTGTTTGGCGGTCAGTAGTNAAGAAAAAAATTACAAGATAAAGGTGCATCAATTGCAATTTTAATTATTTCTAGTATCCATGAATTTAAAACCTATTCTACGTTGTGTAAGTATTTCAAAAGATGATTTTCTATTTAACGAATTTTCCATATAACGAACTTTTTTTCGGGATTTAGCGACTTCGTTAAATAGAGGTCCGACTAAATATGTTTAACTGAAGCTGACGTCTTTAGGGAGTACAAGATACGGAAGTCATAAAAGCAAATCCTTTTCTATCAAGAGAGCACGACAAATGTCTAAAATTGCTCTCACGTACCTTAAAGGTTTTGCCAAAGTCCAGGAAGAGAATAATAGGGCAAGATCAAGTCTTGATCGAACTGCCCCAGTCAAGCATTTCTATTAATGATGTCACTATTTTCTCTCTCTTTTTTTCCTCCTTCTACGCAAATTAGGGGGGGGTTGTTTTTATGTTTATTTCAATTTAGTTGTGTTTGGCGGTCAGTAGTGTAATTTGGTTATTGGATTTTTGTTTCAAGTAAGCTTTTGAGCATATTATTATGTATTTCTCTTGATTTTATACTTCTGTATTTGCTTTATGTATTTTATATTCTCTTCCTGGACTTTGGCAAAACCTTTGGGATACAGAGAGAGCAATTTAGACATTTGTCGTGCTCTCTCGATAAAAAAGGTTTTGCTTTCATGGTTTCTGGAGCTGGTACGCCCTGAAGACGTCGGCTGTAGTTGTCATATTTATTCATTTTTTATTGTTTCTTATGTTTCAATTCTATTTGGATTCTCAGCTGCTTAGCGCGTTTTTCCACTGGAAGTATTATTTTTAATTGCTTTAATTATTTTGAATTCTTTTCTTGATATTTTTAACTAGTAATAATCCATAATTTAATTAATACTTCGCTTGTTTATATGAACAAGATTAGGTTAGATGATATTTCGCTCATCTTTGTGTAAAATGTGAATGGAAAAAAAAGTGAAATTTGAAATATTTTTTTAAATAACAATATACAGAATAAATTATTAAAAGGATATGTATTTATAAGAATTTCATAAGTATTTCTCATCAAGCTTTTTGATTCAAAATAAAATAACTACATTCAATAATAAAGAATTTCTGCTAATAATTCTCATGGTTTGAAACAGTTCCTATTTGAAAACCATAATTCAGCTTATTTTACTCATTTTCAGCAGAAGCATACACCAAAAAAAAAAAAAACATAATACTTAATATTTCAATTTACACATTAAATCATTTCAAAATAAATAGTGGTTGTCTTTTTTTTTTAGTATATTCACAGCTAATGGTGAACTTTTTGTTATGCTCGGATTTCCGCTTAAAGAAGCGTGATCATTTAGGGTTCCATAGCTAGAAAAAATCGGGTACCACTGATTTAGACAATTGTGGTCATCATAGGAAAAGGTGTAAAGAAAATAGTCGCAGGGTTTTATTACTTTTGAAGCTTAAGCTCTTTTTTTAATGTTTTAACACAAGTCTGTTTGGGAGGAATTATTTTTTATTTTAAAAATAAATCCTTCACATAATTCATTTAAAAATGGAGCTAATGACATCAATCACAACTCTGGCTGCTGCACCTCTAGAAAGTTTGACAGTTTCTCTTTAAAATAAAGGTTCTGAACCTAAAATAACGGTAATTTTTACAGGAGAAAAAGCTGTGTATTTTTTTAAAAATTCAGTATTTTTAATACTTTTATTATAAAAAAAAATCATAAAATCAACAAGCAATTTATACATGCTTGTACTTACCAATCTTTAATATGACAAGAAACAATAATCTTTTAAACAAAAAATATTTTTTTATTAAAAGTTAGAAAATTTTATTTACAATAATACAATTTAAATCAATGTACTTTAAGATAAGGATAGGGATCTTGTATGAAATGCAGTATAAGTTCCTTAAAATCCAGATCATCTTCCTTTGTAAATCTAAAAACTTCAAATCCTTGACCACATACTGCCAAATTCCATTCATTAAAGTCACTGTAACAAAGTTAAAAATGTAAGTAACAAATTATCTGAAATGGAATTTGAGTTATGCTTTCCGATTTGATGATTTAATATGACAAACAAAGTCTATAAATATATTTTAGCTAAATCCTAACTTATAAGTTATTTTATGCATATTTTAAAGCTTATTAAAAATAAACACTGCTTCAGAGAGAGCTTTTAAAAAAAAATCTATGAAATTTTTCTGTTGTCTCTAATGGTATTAAAATAACCTTTGTGCTAAAGTAGCAAAAGTAACCTATGACAGTGTAGTATTTGTTATCTTTAATTACTTTAATGCAAATGACTAACAAACATTATATTTAGTTGAAAATATAACATACTGTCCACACCTGATATAACGACCCTGTATGGTCCAAACCTAAATGGACGTTATAACGTAAGTTTGCTATATAGCGAATATACAAAAATGTAGCAAATATTTAATCATAAGTTGTTATGCTGGGTACCAAAATGATCATCACTAAACCAGAGATCATTACATTCCAGAGGAACTACTAAGTAAAAATAAAATCAAGAATGCATGTTTTCTGTGCACATGTTTTAAATCTAGTTTAGAAATATTACACGTTTTAAAACTAAAATAAACCACTTAATACATCACTTAACAAAAGCCTGAATACAGTATTCAGACAAGAATAATATATACAGGGTTCATACAGAGATCAGAAGAAATCCAAGGAGTCTAAAATTTTAAGGACTTATCAAAAATTTAAAAACTTTGTGTAAAAGATAACTAGACAGTTTTTTTTTTAAATTAAAAAGCAGTTATTATAAGGGACTTGCTGAAATGTATATTTTGCATATTTTTTTCTAGCCCTTTTGAAATAAATTTTGACTTTGTTAAACTTCATCAAGAAAAATAAATAAAGTTATCACTTTTACACATAAATACATTTTTCAGTTTCAAATATTGTAATAAATCTTGTTAAAGTGCAAACTTAGTAAGTTTATCTATGCAATGCAATAATCTAAGGAGTTTCTAAGGACTAATTTGAAAATCTAAGTAGTTCCAAGTACTCCTCAGAGACTTTTTTATTTCTAAGGAGTCTGTATGCAATTGCTGTCTTGTACGCTTCTGCTAAAAAGTTTTTCTACCTGAATGATTGATGGAGTAGGCAGAGGAAATCTACTGAAAACACAAACCTGGTCAGGGAGGTCATTATTCGCCAAATTCTTATGACGCCAAAGACAATAAAGGGTCTAAAATGTAAATCCGATTTACCTCGTTTTTGTTGGACATAGTTGATTTATTCTACCTTTAGTGGGAGAATGTAACTTACAGATTTTTGGGGAGAAAAGCTTTCTTATTTATCTCTTATTTTCGTATGAAATGGGATGAATCAGTAAAAAGTAAAGAAATTTAACTAAAAAAAATTATTCAAAGATTTTAAAAATGTAATTATATTTAATTAAATTTTTGAATGATTTTTCTAAAACCGAATACATTAAAATGAATTTATATAAAATTAGTCTTAGTTAAATTTTGAACTTAAGATCCAAGCTTTAAAATATTTTGTTTTTGTTTGTTTAACCCCGATTTTATGTTATTCTGCTTCGAGAGTTTTTTATCGCTAGTCCGACAGAAAACGTAAAATCGGGGTTTCACTGTAATTATATTTAATTAAATTTTTGAATGATTTTTCTAAAACCGAGTATATTAAAATTAATTCATAAAAAATTAGTCTTAGTTAAATTTTGAATTTAAGATCCAAGCTTTAAAATATTTTGTTTGTTCAGTTCTCCTAAAATTATTCGCTCAATAACTCAATCTCTTTAACAAAATAATAATCTCGTTCGTAATTTATAGCCAGTCTCTTAAACCCTTGAAAGCTTTAAAACTTTTTTAAGTATGAGAAATTCCATGACCTAAACACTATTAAAGTATTTCTTGAGAAATATTTCCTATTGGCTTTAAACTACTTTCGTTTAATTCTGATGTTCAAAATTTTTTCAATGTTTTGAATTTCTCCTACCTCATAGATTCCGGTTTTTATTATATTTTTCCTCGCTTCAATGTGAAAAGCACGCTTTTGCATAATACCAAAATTGACATGTCAAGAAAAAAAATCTCGTATTTGAAAAGGGAAAATTAAGCACTTTTTAAAAACACCCAATTAAAACAGCATCTTTAAGGGCTTTTAAAAAACGAAAGTAAGCACAAGAACTTTTTAAAAACGCTGCGCAACATGCTTCAAACATTCTATACAAAATAAAAAACAAAGTATACTTAAAGTTATTTATATTAACAAATCTACAGTTAACGTAAAGAAAATGGAAAATATACCAATTAAAGTTATTAAAAGATTTTTATTTGTAAAAGAGTCTTATATGGCATGTAAAGAACAATGCTAGCATTAACAGATATGCTAAATAATTTTGAATGTCTGTGGTAAAATAAGATTATAATCAAATTAAGTCCCTGAAAATCAAATTTTAATCAAACAAAACGTTAATGTTGTAATGATATTAATATACAGAAGTAACCAACTTTAAAAACATGTATCATAAAGAAAGAAAATCCCAGGTCATTTATAAAAAGTAAAGCAGATCATATCAATGAATAAATTAATAAAGAAAAACATGTCAAAACTTGGAAAAAGTATGCTCAGTTAATAAAAATTAGTGGTTTGGGCATAAAGAAAGAAAATCCCAGGTCATTTATAAAACGTAAAGCAGATCATATCAATGAATAAATTAATGAAAAACATGTCAAAACTTGGAAAAAGTTTGCTTAATTAATAAAAATTAATGGTTTGGGCGAGAAGTTCAACTAAAAAATGCGAGAAATTTGGCGGTTTCCGAGATTTTTCAAGGTCAATTTGAATTTCTCAAGGATTTAGCATTATATTCAAATACTTCTTCGGGCTCTTGGAAATCAAAATGAAATTCAAGTATTTTTCAAGGATTCAGCAGATAGAATTATATTCCTTCATTTCGTATGACGAAAACCTATCAACTATATTTATCTCGGTTTGAAGTTAAAGTGGATTTTTCTGGAAGTTAATAAATTTTCGAAAAATTTGTGGAAAAGAAAACTAAGTTTTAAAAAGGAAAGCTTCAGGATCGAAAAAAATTAATCGTACAAAATTATAAAACCTTAATATAATAATAAACAAAATTGCTGCTAAAATTTTGTTAATACTACTATTAAAGAGACTATTGAATGATTTCTCAGTTCATTACTGAACATGACACATGAATTTAATTTAATTCTTTATTTCGCAATTCTGTATCATGGCTTAAATATCAGTAAGAAATAGGTTCAATCATAATCACATAAAATTCTGAAATAAAATTATAATTTCTTATTATGTTTTTACGGTGCAATTACCTTATTATGCTAAATTCTTATATGTGTTTCATTTTCAAACCTCTTTGATACAGATGATAAATCATGTAGTTTAAAATTATTAATCATAATAATAATAACATTATGATCGATTTCGTTAATTTTAATTGATGTAATAATTGTACTCGATGAAAAATTTAAGTTGAGCTACAATTAAAATGTTTTTTAAAGAATTCAAATACTTCTTAATAACAGCTTAGGTCAAAATAATTTCAATGTTTAGAAAAAAGGTTCTGATAGAAATTTTATTTATTTCTATAGTTTATTAAAAATTGCAGAAACATTACATAAATCCATAAATTACATAAGTCGCTAGACCAAGCTAAGCTATTCATGATATTCAAAATTAGTCAAGTTAAAGCTCTTTTGCTTTGTTCATTCTTTGAAAGTTTTCCCTCTGATAACTAAGACTTCGATCTCACTCTTGCTGAGAGGAAAAATCCTATTTCATACCAGGCTATATAGCAACCTCTTTATCATGTAAGCGCCAAGAGAAAATAGCTATATCACGCCAAGAGAATATTAAGTGGGGCTCTTTCTAGGGGGGGGGGCAATGGGATACCCCCTAATGCACCTGAAAGCAATTACCCTTATCTTGAAAGCTGTAGTTTTGAGGAGACATACAATGAACCTGTCAAACCCTTCATAAAAAAATTAACAAACGTTGTGAAACTTGACCTACAGGAGACTCCTATTTCCACATGAGAATGCAATATACACTTCCAACTCCCTACAGTGAAAAGTAATCATTATTAAAATATCTGTTAGACCATAGAGTATGCTTAAGACCACCTTGAATAAAAAATTTGGTCCTGTTACTCTGTCTTCATTCCTAGAGAATCTAAGATATTTCATGTTTATTGAGCAGTTACATCAAAAGAGATAGTGATTTCAATAGTTTCTTGGAGACTTTTTCTACCCATCGATTCATTTCCATTCAATAAATGTTAGTTTGGAAAGTGCAAACAATTTTAACATCTGTATCATAGAAATTTTTGGAAAGAGTAATTTTCTTGGAATTAAAAAAAAATGGAACAAAATTTCGGTCGCTATATTGAAATAAACGATTCCTTTCTGACGTTTTAATGGTTGTTGAAATAACATGTCTATCGATTAACAAACAGGACTTCATACGAGGCGCATCCAGAAAGTAAGTTTCCCTGTTTTTTGTTAAAAAAAGAACTCACACTTTCTGGAACATATTTATTGGTAACAAGTATAGCAATGTTTCAGCTATTTTTCAACATAGCCACCACCAGAATTGAGACACTTGTCGTATCGTGGGATCAACTTTTCTATCCCTCTGTCGTAGAACTCTGCCATCTGTGAATGGAACCAGCGTGTGACAAATCACTTCAGCTCTTTGTCGTTGCCAAAACGCTCACCGGAGGACAGGAATTTCTTGAGATGCAAGAAAACATGAAAGTTGCTGGGAGCAAGATCAGGGCTGCAGGATGGATGATCAAACAACTCCCAGCCAAATTCCGTCAAGCTGTATGTGGACGAACATAGTCATGGACGAGCACAACACCTGCAGTAAGCATTCCACGCCTCTTGTTTTGAATGGCACGTCGCAAATTCTGTAGTGTTTCACGGTAATGGTCAGCGTTTACTGTTTCACCACATGGTTCCATTCACAGACGGCAGAGTTCTATGATAAAGGGATACAAAAGGGGTCCCGCGATACGTGTCTCAATTCTGGTGGTGGCTATGTTGAAAAATAGCTGAAACATTGCTGTACTTGTTGCCAATAAATATGTTCCCGAAAGTGAGAGTTTTTTTTAACAAAAAAAAGGGAAACTTACTTTCTGGATGTGTCTCATATGTCGGTCGTTTTAATGAAGGTCGCTTTAATTAGTGTAGACTATAACAAGATAAACAAAAAGTAAAAATAACATAAATTAAAAGCTTAATATAAAAATAGGTAACAGAATAATATAAAGAGTGATAATAGGTAACAGAATAATACTAAGATTGCTTCATGAGAGTATTTCATCATACTGAAACAACAGAATTTTTATGTGCCAGTTTGTAAAAGCATTTTTGAAAATATCAAAACTGTTGCTCATTGTCTTCATGTAAAAATTGTACTAACTATAAGTTAAAAGCTCTTTTTTAAACTAAAATTTCAAAAAACATTTATTGTACTGTTTCTTAATAAAATTCTATGTTAACTCCACAGAAATATATTTATATATATATATCATAATATGTTTTTTCAATCATATTAAAAAAAGAACTAAGCTTTCATCTTCTGATCGTTTTGCTATATGAAGATGACAGTTTTTAGAAATTCAGTTTTTCTTGGCATCATAAACTTCCATTAAGAGCTTATAAAATTTTTACTTTTGCAAACAATGTTTCTTTAATATTCCGAGATTAATTTGATTATCAGCAATTTGGATGTTCGGAAAATAGGTAATACACTTCCTATTGCTATTAACAAAGAACTATTAGCAAGTGTCAAAATTTAACACCACAAGAACCAGAAAAGCCTATGCTACATTAAACTAATTGACAAGTGAAAATAGAAAAAGATAACAAGTGAAATAAAGAGACTGTATCAAAAATGCCTCTTTCTGGTGGAAATTGTAATCTATATTATATAAAACGCTAATACGTACGTCAATAAAAGTCAATAAAACCGATGATATTTCTTTTCTCGCGCTGGCAACAGTTTTCATTTTTAATTGATTGTGACATAAAAGACCAACTAAATNTTTATATTTCGCGTTTATTTATGCATTGAATTTTCACGCTTTAAAATGCAGAATATTAGTGAAGCAATATTTGATAATTTATTTTGCTAATATGTTTCTTATTTAGCTAATGTTTTGATTTTTTCACCATGTACAATCTAAATAGCTAATATACTTTTTTAAAAGCCAATAAGAACATTGGTAGAATTCTTCTACATAAGTACAATACTATGTCTTTGATGATAAAATACTATGTCTTTGATGATAATATATTATGTCTTTGTGCTAGAACATTGTGTTCATTGGCAAGCGAGCGCAGCGAGCCATGGTTCTCGCGTGAACCACATAGGATTGCGTAGCAATTCTCGGGAGTTGGCGAGCGTTAGCGAGCAGGGGGCGGAGGCTCCTAGTTAAATGAAAATGATTAAGGGGTAGTAAAGACACCTAGAGAAGACCAAGGCCCACCCAGGGCTGTTGTGTCACTGAAGAAGAAAAGGGTCATGCTTAGATGCCTACAAATGCCGTTTAGGTTTGATAACAAGGAAGATTTTGTGAAATCTATTAAAAATTATTTTTTAAAACCAAAAAATTAATTCTATTTACTCCTTTTTAAAATTATTTACAGTCATCTTTTATTATTGAAAACTAAAATACAATAAAAATTAGGAAATACAATTCCCTGTCATCTACCATTTGGATATAATAAAGTAAATAAAATAATGGTATAATAAAGTAACTTGGTATAAAACTTGGTATAATAAAGTATAAATATTGGCTGATTAGAATTTAAAAACAAAGAATAGTATTTGTGTATTGGATTCAAATGCTGAAAAGCTATCAGAAAATTAAAAAATACCAAAGAGTATTTCAGAACTCTAACTAGTGTTGCTTTTATAGTTATTAAACAAGCATAAAAGAAATTTTTCTTTGAAGAAATCACCTTTTTTGTGAATTATATAAATCAGGCCTCAGTAACTAGCAGAAGTGAGGGAAAGATTAAAACAGCCCCAGACATATGGCCTAAGGAGGCATCCAATCAATGACAAAATTTCAAGCCAAAGAAAATGACAAAATTTCAAGCCAAAGAAAATGTCAAAATTTCGTGCAGACATCACAACTCGCTCCGACCGCAAAGTACGGTTCAACCCCAGATACTTATAGCCTCTCAGTGCTTAGGCGCTTGGGGGGGGGGAGTACTGTGGTGGACCGTAACTTCAATAAATGCCAGCAGATGGCGTCACTAGTTCTAAGAAAAACATTATTTTATTTACTCATTCTATTTTTTCACACATTCTGTTCATTCATATTCGAGCTCTAGAATTGCTAATTACGAGTTGTCAGCTGTATTTTTTATTATTATCTTTTTATATTATTGTTATTAAAAAAATGGTTTAAATTAAGTTTTTTTATTGTTCCAATAATTAAAGCACGCAACCTTAAACAACTTTAATTATGTTTTAAATAATTCCAATTTGGTGTTCGATCTAGAACACCTAAAATAGTTTTTAGGTGCAGAAAATAGTTTAAAAGTTTTACAATATGCTAATATGTCAAAAAAATATAAATTAATAATTTTATGTTTCAGTGTAAGGTGTAATTTAACTATTCAGCAATGAATGAAATGAAATCTGATAATTAAGCCATTATCAGATGTAATGTCCGTAATGTGCAGAAAATGAACAGCCCCTTTTCATTCCCTGCACATTACAGAAAAATGGTGTTTTTATCTACTGTAACAAGGAAAAACTATTATAATAAAAAATTTTCATAAATAATAATTGTCACATAGTAAGCAGGATACTCTCCACTCCAATGTTTATTCTATAAAACCTCAAATTTTTATTTTTCATATGAAATTAAAATTTATATCAGTAATAAGTATATGGCACAAGAAAATTATTTCATGATTAATATAATGATTTGACTATAAGTATAAATAACAACTAGTTTTAGAGTATTAAAATACAATCAAAGAAAGATCAGAATTAAATATAATTTTTTACCATAGAGCAATTTCAGCAGGAATTTACAAACAAACAAAATGAATAAAACTATTCCCAAAACAAGAAAGACAGAAAACCTTACCTATTCTCCCAATACTCCAAATTTGCTATATCTGGAATGAGAGAAATCACTGATCTATGAAGATTGATAGTTACTGCAGTGGTAGGAGAATTAATGTAGTTTACTTTCCATACATTGAGTCTTTGATCAACAGATGTTGATACTATTGTAAATGGATCAAGGATCTTAACACCTGTCAATAAATGCGAAATTTTTGTAACTGAACTGATTTTTGAATGAAAAATTACATTTTTAAATGTCATACATTTAATGGTATTGCTTTGAAAATTACAACTTAAACTAAAATTAAAATTACTAAAAAAAATAGGCTAAATATTTTTATGAAGATATTTAATGTGACCTAGAGGCATTTACAATTATTTTGCTATTATCGATTATAATGGTTTGATAAAGATAAAATCAGGCAAAAAAGGAAAACCTAATTAAAATCATACTAAAAATGGAAAATAGCGAATGGTCTCGAGTTAAATGTTTTAAATTTATAAATTATTGAATTATAATAAAGATTTGATTCTTTTTAAAACAATAAAAGTTAAAAATGATAAAGCTAGAAAATTATCTATAGTAGCTAACATAAGCCGAATAACAAGGCTTGAAACATTTATTTAAAGATAATATTATGAAAGCTAATTTACAGGAAATGTGTGATTAAGCAGTAGCTTTTTACATATTCACATTTTTTACAAACCATACACAATTAAAATTATCGCAGTTTATGAAGAAAAATATATTATTGATATTTATTTATAATGAATTATAATAAATTTTGAGGCATTACAGGATGATGCAATAAAAACCATAAAATTATAGGCCATTATACTAAATTTTTCATTTTTTTTAACTTTGTCTGTTTGATCATAATAGGTTTATAAATAAAAATTTTGTATAAGCATTTTATTCATAAATGGAAAAATCAGATAAATGGAGATCATAAATAAAAAAGTCAGATAATCAGAGTTTTTGTAATTACAGCAAGACCTCAATTATTCGAGCTAATTGGGACCGCTAGTACCTTGGATATCGGAAATCTCGGTTAATAAGAACCATGTATAAAAACTTTCCGTGCTTGCGAATTCAACTACTTTTAAAGTAAAAAACAATAGAACGTTTTTTAAATGATAAAAATAAACATATATGAACTTATGTTTCACAGCTAAAAAGATTTAAAAAGGAAATCAACTCTAGTAGTAAATTTTAAAAAGTAAAATGGAATTTTTTTTAACTATACTTAGTTAAATATCGAAAGACGCATTTTCAAAAATAACACAAATCTCAAGAAAATATCGCATTTTTAAAATTTACACGATTAAACTTACAAGTCACATGACCACTGTTAACAAAGCATATTGCCTTCTCAGGGTGTAATATTTCATGGAAGTTGAGTGCTTTTGTGGGGAATAAGTGCCTGTAACACGGAAAACGGACTAATATGTGTATACTTTCTTCCAAGCTCATTTTGGAGACGAGAAAAAAAATTTAGACTTCGTAATTGCCTCGGTTAACAGAAACCTCGGTTAATCGAGGTTCTACTGTAATTTATAACTGTGCATTACAGAGCGTTATTTATTTTTATTAATTATCTAGACCTTAAGGATTGTTTAATAATTAAAGATGGGCATGAAAATCATAAAAACTCTGGACATCATAAAAAATATATACAATATTTAATCAATTAACCTTTTGACACAGATTTTAATTAAACATATTTTTTTCGTTATTTAGTATTAATATAGGTGGTAATAAATGAAAAATATTATATTTAGCATTTTGATTATTTATGTTTATGAAACACATGTGTCTTTTTCTGAGTTAAAAGGTAAAATCTTCCAACCACAGCTCACTTCCGAACATTAATTTTTAAAAATTGCTCTTATTTGTAATTATTTCTATATCTTACAGAAACAGTTTTCCTCAGTGAAATTTCTTTAATTTACAAAACCAATTATTGATAAATTTTTGAATTCGAAGGATCTTTTTTTTAAAAAACTACTTTATTGGGATTTTTTTTAGTAACTATTAGATTGTTTTTATAATTAAATACCTAAATATATTTTTGCTAGTAATTAGAGCGTCAGAAAAAATATGCAAAAGGGACACCAGTGACCTATCTGCATCAAAGGGTTACATCGCAAGTTTAAATACTTTCTACAAAATAACTGCTTGATAAATTTACTTAAATTTCATGATTTTTTTAACAATAAATGTCATTAACTTTTTACTATATTGAAGAGCTTGGGACAAAATAGTGATGAGTTACAATTTTTGCAAAAGTGGCATTTTTATATCGAATTGTTCTATAGTATTGTTATTAGATAATTATTATAATAATTTACACTAGGTAACAGCACAAAATACAGAAAGATTTTATTGCTTAATGCTTTCAACCAAATAATCTCTTGAACAATTTGAAAATGGAACATCATTATCTTGCTCTAAGTATTTTAATTGTATATTATTAGCTTATGATTTTCTTACCAGTTATTTGCGAAGCATGTGCATTCGAAATGTGATATTTTGATACAACTTTGATTAGATTCTTAACAGAAGGCAATGCCTTAAAATCTATGAAAGCAACCATCAAACTATTGTCATCTCCACCTGAACAAATCATCCACACTGAAGCTACAAGTAAAAGAAAAATCATAATTAAGAGTGTTACGATTCATGCAGTGCTGTAGTTCGGAGCCATTTTCCCAAATATTTGGTTTGCTGTATTAAGAACTTTTTTTAAAATAATTTGATAAATATTTCAAAACAATTCCTTTTCCTTCTTTTTGATTATGTATTTATTTTTACGACATGAAACAAAAATTTCTGCTCGGTTCTAGAAAAAAAAATGGTCACTCTGTGAAAATTATCTATTGTTCTTTAATCAGAATCAAACGCACAAGTGAGCTTTCAAATTAGATTGGTGCTATTTTGGGCCTCATTTGTAAACAGAAGCAATGAGAATAATCCTGTTAAAAAATTTAAATTCAGAGATGTTTAGTGCTTAAAATTTTTGATATAGCTGATAAGCTAAGTAATTAAAGTAAATATTTAAACGACATTTAACAGTATTTAATGAGAACAAAATCTTTATATAAAGTTGCTTTCAATTAATTTCATGTGGTTTGCAAAATTTTGAATATTAAATTAGATTACTTTTCTTTATAACTCTGTTATACATATTTTATAATCTGGTAAACAAGGAAATTAATCTAAGAGCAATTAATTACGTTCAAGCAATAAAAAAGAGGTGTTCTTGGAGTTAGCTCACTCTTTATTTGAATAGACACTTTCAAAGTAAGTAATATAAGTTATTATTACAATTGTGAACTTCTTTAGTTGCTATTAATGCAATGTGTTTAATAAATCAGAAGTGCATAGTACTTTTCAAATGCTAATTAAAAATGTGTACCCACTCAGTAATATTTAATAGAAATTTATATAGTTTATAATATCATGCAATTATTTTATCAATAGCTTTTATGATCAATATACCAAAGATAAAAATCTTGCAAATTGACAACAAACCCCCCTTTTTATAAAATAAAAAAATATCTGCTTTTTTTTAATTAAAGCTTTCCATGTATTTTAAACTGGTCGTTTTTTTTTTACGACAAAAATCAGTCAATGATGACAGGTACCCTATAAAAAGATCAGGTCTCCCAAATATTTTTTTCTAACTACAGCACTGAATTCCTGTAAAGATGCAGAAAGAGATATATTTACAGGGCTTGTACATAGTTTCCCATAAAAAAAATTACCTGAGATTGAGTGCAACAATTCAAAAACATCACAATGCACCAGTTAAGACACTTTAAATATTTGGCCTTTCTTTAAAAAAATTTCTCACGAAATGCTTAGAAGATTATTTTATATTTTAAGAGGTGTTTAGTCATCTAATTTCTCATAGTTATCAATAACTATTAAAACCTTCAGGGGTTTGAGAGACCAGTTATAAATTCCAAGACAAGTATTTCAGAACACACAATGGCAGAAATAATAGCAATAAGGTTGTAACTTGTATTGATTACTTTGTTAAAATTTCGTAAACCTAGTTTTAATATTTATGAAGATATGGACATTTATAAAAATTATTGCCCATGTGCAGAGAAAAAGTTTAAAAAATGTTTTTTTTCATAAGTTTGTAGTGAATTGTATTAGGTTAACTAACGAAAAAAGTCGTATTTTAATATCTTGAAAACTTAAAACAATTTTATACTTTTTAAAAGAAAGCTGAAAGTAATAAGGGGTTTTCCTCAAATATCATTTTATATCAGAAGATAAAATTTGAAAACAAATGAGATAAAACCTTTTAATAATTGTCCATACACCAAAATGTGATGCTATAAGGAGAGAAAACATACTTTTATGGGGGATGGGGTCACTGCCTACAATGCTGGTATCATTTTTAATAAAACTTGTTTCTTTTTTTTTAGAACAAAATATAGCCTCTAAAGTTATAAAATAAATCTCCAAAACATGAAGTACGCATCTTGAAAATTCCTATTAATAAAATATTTAGCTTAAATTAAACGAACATAATTGAAAACTTTTGATAGGGTACAAATTAGCCATGAGATCTGCTCCTAGAATGAAATCTACCCATTAAAGTTTCAGTTTATTTACTTTTAAATTAACAAAAACTTTCAGCTGGTATGTATTAGTCGTGTAATGGTTAGGTTGTTTTCCTTTTAAGAGAAATTCGGGTTCTCGGACAATTGAATTTTATCTCTGTTTTTGTTCTTAAGAAAATTGATAACTATTTAATATGTTTATTTTAATTTTAAAATTATTATTTTTTAATTTAAATTAATTTTTTTCTAAATTATATTTTTAAAAACAAAAAAAAATTATTAGTATTCATTTTTAATTAAAACATATGGTATAAATATATGATATAAGTATCTTAAAAAATAATACAAAACATTAAGTTAACATTAATTTCCTCCTTTTTTTGCTAATATTGTTTGCTTGAAAAATATATTTATACGTTTTTATTTTTTTAATTGCACATTCTTAGATTAACTTTCTATATGGTTAAAGTTCAATAAGTAAAAGTTTTACTAAAGATGGAAAGAATAGCATGCAGCAGAAATGCTACATGTTCGACGTTAAATAGAAAAGTTCTGCATTTTGCAAGAGGTGAAGTTTCAAGCAATATTCTCAAAGAGTGAATGCCAGTCGAATACCGAGAGGAAGGCATTTAGAGAATGACCACATAAACTTTTCATCCATTCTTTTTAATTTAGGGTGTTACTGTCTTGTTAGTTTTATGAAAACAGGTGAAATTTTTTAAAAATAAAACATCAGTTTGGAATTTAGGTTCATAATTAAAACATTTTTCTGTATTACTTTATTTTTTAATCAAAGATAAAAAAAATTACTTCAACAATGACTTTTTTTTTTAATGTTATGTCCCGATGTGTTATTCCTTATTTTACAATATATGGTCTTTTCGGCAGAATTTTTTTTTTTTAAATAACTTCTTTTTTTGAAAGAAATTTTAAAAAAATTAATGTATTTTAAAAATATTTGTTGTATATTTTAAACTATATTAAACGTATTATTGTTTCTGTACAACTATGAAAGAATCAAAATTAATTTCTGATAAAAAAAACTAAGCGTGTTAAGATATGGTACTAGGATGTGTGTACTAGGTGTGAACCTGTGAGTCAAATGTACTCCTAATATAATGTGACATCGTTGAGATGAATCTTAATATGTGTTGAAGATAATAATGTAAATGTGTGTAAGATATTATGTTGAAAATAGTCTTATTTTGTCTCTAAATTAAGTTTTTAATTAATGACTAGTTTGAGAAATAGACTAGATAACTTTCGGTTTGTCTAAACGTTTATTATTGTTATAGTTTCCGTTGCACATAGGTTTTTATTTATTTATATACATAGTTTTATATACCTATATAAGTCTGAGTAGAGAATATCTTATCTTTCCCGAAAATTGTCTGATAGTAATAACACTTGGACATACATGGTTGCCTTTATACAAATATTTGATTATGCCTGTTTTGGGAGAGGGGATTCGAAATTTGAAATAATCCGATTTAAATTTGCATGGGAAAGCATTCCCGCAAACGTTGTCCCATGCCGCTAGGAGCACTTTCCTATTATGACCTGTTTAGAGGCACACGAACAGTTAGTTCATAATAGAGAAGTTTCTCTAGTGGCGTATGAATCCCTTTATAGGCATGGGTTTCTATGCAATTTTAATACTGATGATAATTGTTGAAATATTTACGGCACCCTCTGTTATTCATAACGGTTTATAACTTGTAAATTTTGACAAAAATAGACTAAAACTGTAATTAAAAGAAAACATTGCAGCTTGGAGAGAGAAACCAATTACAGATTTAAAATCTGCAATGTGAAAATACATTCAAGATCCAATAAAAAAATTTACGCAACAAGAAAGAAATTGTTTCCCAGTGAAATCATTTCATATTTTCCTATTATTTTAACGGTTGTCCCTTCTTTTGTTAATACATTTTTACGAGTTTATTTTTTATTGATTTTAAATGGATATTTTTCAGATAGAATACTTCAGAAACAGTTTATTACAATTTCTCTTCATAATGAGAACTGTTGCCATAAACGATTTTAGATATAGCATGTGAATAAAGTAAGAAAGAGGAATGTAAAAAAAAACAATTAGTAAATTAACAAGTTAGTATTAACTACCTGTACAGGTGTATTATATATGTGTATTGTATATGTAGTATGTATAGGTGTATTAACTACAAATAGCTGTGAATTTGTTTATGGACGAATTATTGAAGAGCATTTTAGTGAATAGTCTAAACAGTAAATTAGTTTATAAATGTATAAAAATGTTTAAAAACCTATAAATTGTTTGGCGGAAGTTGGCATCAACAATTTTTCATTTTTTAAAATTATTTTTAACAAAATGACGAGATATGGAATGCAAAATATGACAAAAATTTTTATTGAAATAAAAATGCAAAAATAATTAATTTTATATGTGTCACAGCCTATCCTGTGTTGTACGCCATGCTCGATATATATGGTACGCTATAACTTTTACATTTTTGCAAAAATCAATTCAATATTTTCCTTTAAAATGCGTTGGAATAAAAATCTCTTAAAAATGCCTTAAAATTAAAAGTGAGAAAAAAACAGAAACATTTTGTTTCAGATAGTATATTTCCATTTCAAGAATCAACTTTACAATGCAAGAAAAAAATTTACGCAACTTTGTCCAAATGTGAAAACAAATAGAATTTTTGTGAAGAGCTTAAAAGTTAAAAGTGGAAACTGTAAAGCTAAATCTTATGTAAAATAGAAATTAGTACAATTTAGCCAAAACTACACATTTTTTCACAGTTATTTTTTCCATTTTGCCGTAAGAAACTTTTTTTTTTAAATAAGACTTTTTTTTTTCCTTTTAGTTTCAAACTTAATATTGTGAATGAGAGTCATAGGTTAAGAAGCTTTAAAATACAGAAATAATAATCAAACCATAGATGAAAACATTCATATTTTGCATATTACCTACTAGAAACCTGTAATCTAAAGCATTGATGCCAGATTGATGAGAGTTCTTCATGTCCTCTGCTTCAATCATATTTAGATACTCCCCATGTAAGTTGTCATGCTGAAGGACTTTCAAGCTTCCATTTGTTGCTCCAATAATGTATGAAATTTGCTGTGTAGCAGCTACCAAATTGGAACGATCACTCACAAGTTTAAGGATACAATTTTCATTATGCTTAAATGAGTGTTTTATTGTAAGTTCGTTTTCATCGATATCGAAATTATACAATCTGTAAATAAATGAGTAACTTTAAGTAAACAAATCAAAATTATATAATTATGTTTATCAAATGTTACAGGAAAGTAATCCAGAGTGTCCACAAGCACCCTACCTGTTTGACTACCTGTTTTTGTAACAGGTAGTCAAAATTTTATTATTAGTTTTACAGTTATCCCTTATTTGTGTACATAAAATAATAAAAAGGACTTTCTGTAAAAGTTGTAATTGAAAAAAAAATTACATGAAAAAATATTAAAATTTAAGGTACTGCAGACTCAAATTAATTAATTTCCCTAACTTTTCTAAATTGTTGAAATTCCCTTTACTTTTCAATGTTTTTTTTTTTCTCTTGCCACCTTGGTTATTCCATAACAACCAGTTGCTGATAAAAGCGTCAAAAAGTTTCTTTCCTCTGATCGTCTCAATACTCATTTGTTAAATTTCAATTTATTCAGGTTTATATGTTTTTATTTTAGAGTTTGCTTTTTGTCTAAGTGAAACTAAGTTATTTTATAAGTTAAAACTTACAATATTATTTGCTTTTGCAATATTACTCAGTATTAACTAATTATTTAATGTTTTAATTTGTTTGTCAATAAGTTTTTTTTCTTTTAATTTTTTTTTATTGAGAATTGTTTTTTGTGCATATTGTTTTAGTTTGAACTAATGGAACTAAGCTCTTTATAAGGAGCATCCAAGAGTTTAGGAAAAAGAGTAATCATGAGCTAATCCTCGACACTAAAATGTATTTCATTTTGTTTGCAAAGCAAATAAAAACATAATTGCATAGCGATTATTGGTGGCTGACAAGCGACAGTGAGCTGATCCCTTTAGTAAATAACAATAAATCTAAACTATCCTTTTCAGTTAGACATAGAAAACTTTCAGACCTAGTTTTATGCAACAGCATTAAAAAGTCTGTTTTTAGTTTAAATTGTACTTTTATGATGAGTGACATAATATATAGTTTAGTACGATCTTCGAAATATTATTTAAAGCAAGAGTGTGCAAAGCAAGTTACACTTGAAGGTTACAAGTGGCACCGCAGTGAGGCCACCTCAATCATTGCTTAACCAAGATTTTATTGATGCCGATACGATATCATGTTCTCATTCTTAATTAAAGTAAACTTTTAAAAATGGTATTAACCCTGAAGAAGAATTCTAGAATTTAAATTCCAAAGATATCTAAAGCTTGCATTATTAAAACAGTTATTATTTTCTACTTGTTAGCTTTTACAAAATGCTTTGGAAGGAATGAAATTCAGAATGATTATTAGAAATATTGAAAAGGTACCAACATCTAATCAAAGAATGAAATTGATTAAAACAAATTTTAAGAAAAAATTTTTAGGATTAGGACTTAAAAATAATAAGTCAAAAGCGATAACAGCAGCTAAAACCAAGTTTGTCTCATGTAAACAATTTAAACTAAAAGTCAGAAACCAAAAATAAGCAAAAACAAAATTTTAAAGATAGGTATGTTAGCAAAAATAGCACTTCATTAGGGGACACACTGCCTGTTAAAAGTACCAACATGCCAGGAAATGTTTTCAACAACCTACTCCATGTCCAACAACATTTTAGATGTAGAGAATGTAGGGTGCAGCAAAAAAAAAAAAAAAAGGATAAACTATTTTTAATAAAACTTTGTTAAAATATTAATAAATTAACAAAATCTAGCAAATATTAATTGTAAAAAAAGCAGACTTTTACAAATAAATGTAATTGGTTTCAAAGTAGCCACCTCCTACAGCAATGCAGAGACACAAACACTCGTTGAAATTTTTAACAATGAGCTGTACGTCAGTGTTGAGAGAGATTCCTTTTCCCTGATGAGAAGCTCTTAACTGTCCAACGAGCTCATAATTCCCAAAAGGAAAAAATCTAGTCTGTAGATGCTCTAAGCCTCTCAGCAATTGTTGAACATCCCAAAAATCCAAAGTTAGTCATGGTTGGGTGACGACTTTCCACAATCTGCAAAACATCACTGGTTTTTTGTGGATGAGAGAATTAAAATAAATCAAAAAATTTACCAGTGGATATTCAAGAAGTTGTTATACTTGGGTGGGCCAAAAAGCACTATAGCAATTGAAACAGGGTGTTTCGACAAGACTCCACACTCATTAGCTTACACAGCCAAAAAGACACAAGAGTGGTGCACAGAGCATTTTTTGGACATGATATTATCTAAAGAATAGTCACCCTACTCGCCAGATCTCAATCCCATGGATAACAGTGTGTAGTCCATTTTAGAGTCTAGCTCCTACACTAGATCACATAAAAGACTGGAAACAAAAGATTGGACTCACTAAAGCAATCATTTCATCGGGAATGAGATAGATGCAAAAGCAGAAGACTTGGGATCCATGCTGAAAATTTCAATAAGACTATTTTTATTATTATGTGTTATAATTTGTTAAGTTATATTAAAAATTGTTTCTTAATTTTTTAGCCACATCATGTTATTAGAATTAAGAAAGATTTTTCCTTCCTATTATTATTCTTATTATGCTAGAGTAAGGACTCCTAGAAAGCAGAGAGGTCGAGAAATTCCAGCCTCAGTACAAACAATTGTGATTCATCTTTATCAAACAAAACTCTCGAGTAGCTATAATACCATCATAAAAACACCTCTCCTTCATCCTTATTATTCTAGGTTACTAAAACTAATGTAAATGAATTAATTTATGTGTGATAATCGATAACATATTTTTATTTTATCTGTTAATTAATAACAGATGTTTAATAACAGATTATATATTTTTTAATCTATCAGTATGATACCAAAACCAAGAATGTAAGACAGTATGAAAATTGCTCGAGTAATATGGCGCATCTGAAATAGTCTGTCAGATAATTGATACATTTAGTTTAAAAAGTAGATCACCCCATATTCATTTAGTATCTAAAACAGTTTAATAATATATATTATTGATAAAGGGTGTCCCAAAACTTATGGTACTTATGTACCTTAAAGGGGGGTAAAAGAAAATTAGACAAACAAAAATCACCATACAATTCATGGTTCGAATGCAAGTCATAACAAGTCTTTTTTCACAAGTCATAACGGACTTTTTTTCTGGGTTGGAACATTTAATTCTATGACTTGACTTTTTCTTTTAGGGTCGTATGAAGAGTCTTATCTAAGACGATGGTCTCACAGATTTTACTGAAAGCCTTGTTGCCCAGATATCCCTGACACCATAAGAGAGATGGCTGATGTTTTCCCCCAACATAAGACGGTCACTCCTTTGCTGATGTGAAGCCTCAATGTTAGCGGCCACAATTTTGAGATTTTTATGATGGGGACTCAATGTTGTTTAATTTCATTTTGTTGAATAAAACGTTTTTCTTCATTTTATTGGTTTATCTTCATTCTATTTCTGTTTTGTTTCTCATCATTCTGTGATACATCATGTTACGTGCTCTAGCGCTTTACGACATGCATTCCGACCATGGATTGTATGAAGATTTGTACTTGTCTAGTTGTCTTATATCACCCCCTAACATATAAATCATGACTTTTGGAACACCCTGTATTAATAATACACCTTCCTTGGGACACACTGTAGAGAAAATTGAGATATTTACATTAAAAAAAATCAGTGTTTGATTTATTCACCTAAAATAACCATCAGAACAAGCCACCCCAATATCGTAGTGATTATTCCAATTATCTATTACAGTATTGCCACTTGCACGTGAAATGGAAACATCCATTAATCTAGTTTGCGATTCAGTTGGATCACTTCCTCTAAACTTCAACATCGAATTTTCACTAGACCCCATTAGCAAGGTAGACTTCAGCTGTTGACATATCGCATCTGTGAAAATAAAATGTGGTTTTAAAATTAACAAAATCTAGAACTCAAGTCAATAATATCAATATCAGGGTCAAAAAACTTTTCATGATTTTAACAATGGAAGTCAAAATCCTGTACTAAAAACCTTAAAAAATTACATTTATGTATTGATATAAATATCTATAAACTAATTCAATGATACAGTTTAATAAGATTTTAAGTTCAAAAACCAAATTGAAAATTACAATAACACAACAAAATATGTCTATTTCATTAATGTGAAAATATAATGATTGTGCTAAATAAGGAGTTGACAGAATAATTCCAAACAAAAGCTCTCTAACAAAATAAAATGTGAAGATGAAATTAAAATGTATTTCTCAACTGCATAAACTTAAACTATAACAAAACCATATATTTATATAGTAGAATGTATCAGTATTTAAAGTTGTTTTAAATGAATTATGACATTGTGACTATCTTCCCCCTTTTTTATTTCACAGTTTTAGCCAGTTATTAACACATGCTATGTCAAAAATCTTGAACTAATCTTGGCTAGTATAATGGTTAGTTTTCAACTTCCTGTTACATGCATGTGTCATAGACTAATTTAAAATTTAGCTCTTTGCAAATGTTGCCAGTATTAGGTAATGCACCAAGCTAATAAAAGAAATCTTAAGTATTCTCAAACCTACTTAATTTCTTTCAGATTCATTACACTTAGCCTATATGCTGCCTTTAGATATCTAGAAATGTATGAAGATCACACAATCAGCTAAATTGTACAATTTATAATACAATTTTACGACTCTGGGCTTATTGCAAATTTCCTATTTCCGTGGAGTTATAAGTTCTCCACGAAAGCAAATATCTCCCAATACTTAATCCAGGAGCTCCCTTGTCTTTTGGAATAGGTTCAAAATTACATGGTTATGGAGTTGAACACTAGTAGTTATAAACCCAAAAATGGGTCGGCTGTTCAACGGAGGTTATAAAATAAGACTGAAAAATGTCAAGATGAATGAAAAATACTGGAGATTTTTCCGATTAGCATAGCACACCGCAAAATGATATGAGCAGTTAGCAAAGAGATTTTCAATTTCAATTATCAGATTTATATGTTGTCGATTAATTGCCAGATTATTCAAAAAAGTCATAGAGTTTGATAAAAAGGATTTATTTAAGAAATCCAATTAATTAGTATTAAAATGAGTAATCATAAAGTGAATTTAACAAAAGAAGATAAATTAAATAATTCCTTAATTATTTATTTATTTATTTGCTTTTTCAGAAAAAAAGCATGTTAAGTTTTTATTAAATAATATATTTTGTTTGAATATGCACTTTTTGCATTTAACTCTGCTTCAAGTAGACAACATCTATAAAATCTTGTTAGAAGAGTCAAGATGTTGCAGTGTGATGTAAATATGTTAATTTCATTCATTAACTCTTCATCCTTAGAGCAAAATTTTTAAATAATAAAGTGAATAAGAAAATGCATATGGAAAGGCCCTACAAAAGACTCTCGATTGTGATTGAAAAAAAAAGACCGGGATCTTTTAATTATAATTTATTTGTTGCATGTTAAAGAGTAATTATAGACTCCATTATGTATCAAATTTCTCTATTGTATGCACTCTATAATGTTTCCAACTTACATGAGGCTGGGGGCCAAACTTACATGAAACTGGTACAAAACAAAAGCATTGAATTACAAATTAAAATAAGTAGATTTTCAAATATATTTAATTGCATATTAAAAAATTCTGACTACAATAACTTAAATGTGCACCAATGTATTAAACAATTAATGGTATCAAACTGTTAATAGATATAAATTGTTAAGATATAAAGCTTAAAAGTACTTAAAACCCTTATAGATTTTTTACGAAAATTGTCCGCAAAAAATGACAACTAATATATTTTAGTTTGCCGGTCACCAAAAAAGGCTTTGCGGATCAGACGGGGGCCGCCAGTTGGTAACTACTGATGTATACAAACCAAACAAGAAAAGTTGGGGGGAAAAAATTAAAAATTTAGAACATTGAAAGATTTAAACTTTCTAATACATAATTTGGACACATAATGAGATTGATGCCTTTTCCCCCAGAATTTCTTCAGACTTTTTAGCTGGCTGTTACCCTAATCAACTTAAATAAGGCTGTGGAACTAATATCGCAATTGTTAAGGTAGCGAGAGATGTGTCTTTTGCTTAATTCTGCCCTATTATTCTAACACGTTTAATTTTTGTTTCCATATTAATTAAATGGAGTTCTCACGAAAGATGGTATGAATTTCTTCAAAAATAATTTGAAGCAACAATTCAATTGGACAATTTAAACATGAATGAAATAATAAAAATTATCATTTTTCGTTAACACTCTAAAATGAATACAATTGAGTATATTTAACACTCTTTAGTACAATCTCCATAAGTGTCATAGTAATATTTCCATAGGATTAGCTGAGAACGTCCTCCAACAGATGCTAAAAGCCAGTAGTCTATATTCAACATTTTTTCTTTGTCGATAGCTCGAATGTTAGATAAATGCCCTGAAAGTTTGCTCAAAGTGACAAATTCAGCTGTTCCATCAGGTGCATCTATCAGTTGGCTAAGGAAGGGAAATGCACAAAACAAAATGACATGTTTATATTTAGTAAAAAAATAAAATAAGAAAAAAGAAGTATCTAACCTATGCTCGATACTGACTTTATGAAATTCAAATACAAGGTAGAATTTAGATCATTGTTACTCAAACACAGGTAGACAGGCTAGCGTCAGTTTGTGGAAAAATAATTGTATTGGAATTGCTATAAATTTCATTTATATTTTCATTTATACATATACTGCATATTTCCAAATATAAGCCCATCCGTGTATAACTCCATGAGTATGTGCCCACACCCAAAATATATACTTGTATCAAAGTCGATGTAAAAAAAATAATAAGGCTTGCTATCATTAGAAATAAATATGTGCATCATAATAAGTATTCTTATAGTAACGGCTGCACAGTGGATAAAATAAGTATTTGTAATCCAAATTTTAAAAGCTTACGAATTTGTAATTAGAAAACAGTAACATTCCTTTCAAATTTTTCAATTTTTATATTTAGGTATAAGTTTTCACCTATTATTTTGCGTATTGCAATATTTAATGATTATAGCTGATGCTTGATAAAAGGAGAAGTATTTCGGATGGCGATGTTCTTGCATCCAATTATGTAAGTGCATCCAATTATAAGCAAACCCCCAAACTTAAGCTTTTGAAAATTTTCTAAAACTCTCTGGCTTATATTCGGAATTATATGTTAAATTTAAAATTTTCTAATCACACGTAAGTAGCACATCAAAATACAATACCAAAAAAGATCCCCACACTCTTTTCAGAAGTTTTCCACACTGTTAAATGTACATCATCGATTTTTCTTAATAGAAATTTCACATACACTTGTCTGGCAGAATTCATGAACTGAACAGTTGAACATTGTCCCTTTTTATAAATATACTTATAACTTACGAATAAAATTTTTGAAATTTAAAGTAACTAAATGAAAATTACTATTTTACATATTTGAAAGAACTGTTTGTATTTTCAAGATACACATTATTTGATTTGTCATCTCACAGGAGTGTAGTTAAAACTAGCAGCCCTATTAAATGATTAGTCACTAAAGAATATAGCTGAACAGAAGTTTTTAAACTATTGAATTTAAAAACACACATTTTAAGAGTATTATGATTAATTATTTGCAAGTTAAAATGAAATCCAAGTTTTCCTTTTCTCAACAGTGCAAAATTGAACAACAAATGACTAATAAGTATTAAAAAAAAATAAGAAGAAGAAGAATACTTTGTATTATACTGTCAGTATATGTTGATAGATTATTTTATTAAGCTTAAAATGCTAATTTTTCCACAGAAAATAAAATGATACTGCAAACACCAAATTTTATTACATGTTTACTCTGATTTTAACATGATTTCATTTAGGAAATTACACACATAGTGGATATGTACATAAATAGGTAACATAATTTTTTACCAATTAGGTATACACAGTTATGATTGCCTTAGCCAGTTAAAGTTTTGAAAAAAAATAACTAGACAACCCAAGCTACTAATATATAAAACTCACAAAACAAGAAAAGAAAAAAAAACTTATTTTTTTCAAAGTTAGTGTTTTAATGTTCTCCATTTATAGCACTATATCCACTATAAATTTCTTCTTATTCGACAGTTAAAAAAAAATTCCTACTTATGAATATTGAGTAAGTTATCTTGATTGTATCTTTTACATAAGTACAGTCAAACCTCTATTTAACTAAGTTGTTAAATCCCGATTACTTTGTATATGGAAAATTCGTTAAATAGAATATCACCTTTTGAAATACTTAATCTACAAAATAGGTTTTAAATTCATAAACACTAGACATAATTAAAACAACAATTGATATACCTTCATCTTGTAAGCTAGTATCTACTATTTATTTAATAAATCTTAACCATAAAAGAAATTTGTATGGAAAGCAAGAATAGAGCAAAACATTATCCAATGTTACACTATCATGCTACATACATTTTCAACTAAAAAAAGAGATAAATTTATGTATAAAATTATAGCTGCATTTATTATAAAAAGTAATATTAAACATACATTACTGCATGAGTTCTAAAGTTTAACTGCTACGGATAAAATCCGTTGTGTCTGAGTTTTTCGTTTGAAATGTTAACAAAAAGGGAAAGGGATTTTACTGCTTTCTCTAAAAGTAAAGTGGCTTTGAAAATCAATTCAAAGTCATTTCCCCCATAAAATGTGTTAACAAGTTTGAAATGTTCTGAAATATTTTGGGAAATAGGGAAAGTGAACTTTTAGAAAAGTTCATTAAATAGAAAATTCACTTGGCTATCTAAGTTATTTTACGAAGAAATTTCCAAAATGTTCTTGGTTCCTTGGAAAAAATCGCAAAATAGAGAAATTTGCAAAATGGAAGTTCGTTAAATAGAAGTCCGACTGTATTATCATTATTCAATGTGCTCAACTAAAGAATTTGTAAAAAATATTATAAAATATAACCCAAATTTGATAAAATTATGTAGTATATTAGTTAAATTAATATCTTTGTTCATTATTATAGAAACTACATTGTTTTTCATCATTTGGATAACACATGCCATCATAAAGAGAATTCACTGCATTATTAACACCTCTTCTGATTTTTGCAAATATTTTTGTTTTATATTTTCTAGTTTAAACTTTTTTGTAAATTTATAGATGATAGTAATGTTTATAATCAAATCAGACTGCTCGATTGTAAAGATTTCTTTAACAACTATCATTAATTAAATATTTAGAAATTTACAAACAAATTACTTTTATGCAAATATGATATACAAAACATGTGACTACAAAGAGAAGTTTTTTTAAAAAAAAGATTCGTAAATATATTTTTACATGAAAAAGAATCAAGTTAAGTACATTTTCAGTAGTGAATAATAAATTGACATTTTTAAACAATCCATAGCAGAGTCTGATAGTTTTCTTTCATTATCAAAACAGTTTTACTCTACATTAATTTAATGTTGTTATGAATGTTACATTAAAATTTTGAAAGTTATATCAAAATTTTGATTTTTTATTGCAGAAGTACTATTTTACAACATTTTTACACTGTAAAGTAATGGATCCTTTTACGTGTCTTTGTAAAATAGATGTTTTAGTATCAATTTATTATTTTTTTCACAGTAAGTGAAGATCAGTGTAAGAATTTGAGAAGGTTTACAATTTTATATATTAATTTTTAAATGGGTTGCACAAATTATTTTTTCTAAACATAAAAACATTTGTCTTATAATCCTTTAAAAATTTATCCGTAATTTTTACACTGCATGTCTTATCTGAGTGACTTCGTCAAATTAAAGCAATAACTCAAACAAGACAATATCCAACAGGTGGGATAGTAATTTAGTCATCACTTTCGTGTGTGATATATAGCAATAAATGTATCTCATAGTTTGCAATAAATGTATGTAATTCTCAAAGGATACAGGTTAATTTAATTACTTGTAGAGTATTATCTTCACCACCACATAATAAAATGGACCATGGATCTAGTAATAAGGAATTTAAAGTATAAATATAATATACATTCAACATTGAATACCAAATGCATTTAATATACAAATAGAATTCGAAATAATTCAAGAAATTAAATTTCTCACAAAATGCAAAATATAAACAAAATTATTAAAAAGGTTATCAAATGTATTTTATAAATTTAAATAAAAATTATTTATAAAGACATATTCAACAAGATTAATATTATTGATCATACTGAATTTACATACATATGTAAAAAATTACTAGAAAAAGACTAAGCAAACTAAAACTTTAATTCATTCATATTATTAGGGGGACCGGAAAGTAATGTCATTTCGACGCATTAAATATTAGTCTTAAAAACCAATGAATTTTTTTAGATCCATTCCGACTCATTTTCGATCCGGCATTGAAAGGTTGTTGCTAACGAGGGTGAACGAATCATTGATATGAAATAAAATCTTGATAGCAAAGATCAAATGCACCGAAATGACATTACTTTCCGATCCCTCTCATTCAAATGTAAATTAGTGAATGACCCCTAATAATTTTTAATAAACTTTGTTACTTGGTTCAGTATTTGTTTAATGAAACGATTAAAAAAATGAAATAAATTTGAAATGCAAATACAATGACTATTGAAATTAACATTTTTGTCAGAAGTAAATTATTATATATATGGTCCCTACACTCATAATATTTAACAAATCTGAGATAATTGAATTTTTTTAGTTCAACTGTTTTTAAATCAAATCATTAAGTAATGAATTAAAGTTTTCGGAATGACAAATCAGAAAAACATAAGATGCTTTGCTGCATTTAAAATAGTGAAAGCCCCTCACTTCATATTTTTTTAAAATCTTGTCTCTAAATATAATAGGGTTTTTTCATAAAAGAACTTAAGAGTGCTGAAAGTTTTAAAAGTAATAATGCAATAATAAAAAGTATTAAGAGAAAAAAAATTAATAAAGTAGAATAAAAGTTTATACAATTTTTATTATAAAATTAGTGGACGGTCTGTCAATTAAAAAATCTTTTGATTAAAAATCTAAATTAATTCTTATCTATATTAAATTAAATGAATAAAAGGGAGATGAAAATTTTGAGGAAAGGAAGCTTTGTGGTTCTTTATTGCTCTGGGAACCGACATGAAAGCATGTAATTATTAATGAATGATCCCCAAGGAGTCAAGTTCAAGGATTGTGGTACTAATCTATGAATAGAAGAGCTGGAGAAGACCACTAGCTTGCAAGTGATAAAGATGATGGCACTTCCCCAACGATGAAATAAAATTTTCTTTTGCTATTAATGAAAATTAATTTTTAGCAACGTTCAGTTGGGCCCTGTGATCAGCAAAAATTTGAGAGATTTTTCGGTTTGATCCCAAAAATGAGAATTTCTTGCAAAATGTAGCAGAATTGCACATGACAGTGCAAGAATCCTTCCTTTCTCCGTCGAAATCAGCTCGGTATACACACATACAAAGCTCTGCAAGTATTTTATCAAACATGCAAAATGATTGACACTTTTATACGCTGAAGTCCAACGGTATGCCGAAATTGATTAAATGAATTGCGAAAACTTTGAATAGAAAAATTTGAAAACCACGTTTTTTGTATGATTCGCGAAGAAAATAGACATGCTTAAGAAAAAGTTAAGCACTTTCTGAAAACGGTACGAAGCCTGCAGTTTGATATATGAATAAAAAAATTTTAAAAATATAGCTCATCATTAAATTACACCAAGCCTTTCAATTCTAAGACAATTTTTTTTGATGAAAACCCATAATCTTTTGTTCAGTATAAAGAAAAATATTTTTCTGGGCTTAAAAATAAATGAAATATTTTAAAGGAATACTGACCTTGATTTTCTGAACTCTGTGTATACAAGTAAGTTAAGCAACAAATTTTTTGTCCCGAAAGTCCATCCTAAGAAAAATAAAACAGAACAGTTGAGGAAAAAAGATAAAATTTCATAACAATATCTAAAAAAAATATAATCATTATCTCATCATTTATTCAATATAATTATTTGAGAAATGAAAATAGTGACAATATTGAAAATAGTGAAAATGATAATAATTCCTTTCAAATAACACCTGAACAATTTTCGAGGAACAATCTTGCATTTATGATTTTTTATAAATAAAAGAAGAGAAATTATTAGTTTACAAACTGAAGTAGTGACGGCTTTCTTTTATTTTTCCATATTACTCTTGCATGGTGATGTAGAATATAATAAAATAGTTACAACAATTTTTTTTAAAAATTTCTATAACCTGATATGCATTAGCATCAAAAATATCTGCATGCTTCATAATAAGTTTATCAAAGGACATGCAGTAAAATTGGTTACATTTTAGGACATATTGGGTCAGCAATTAAGTTCTTATATTTTTCTAAAAATTTGAAGTGTGTGAATATTTAATTTTCATTTCCTTTTGAGTTTCGTTATAAATTTTCGCACGAAAGTTGGTTGAATTATTTTTCATTGAACTGAACTAAAACTAAACTAAGCTCAGTGGCATGACAGCCCATAGAGGGCCAAGGCCAACTGTGCCCATCTCAGTTTTCTAGACCTTGGGATCTGGGGTGCAGGAGCAGATGCTCTGGTCAGGTTGTCAGCCAAATGCAGAACCCCGAAAGTTTAGTTTCCAAGCATGCTTGGTATTAATTTATCGACCCACTGAAGGGATGAAAGGCTGAGTCAACCTTGCCCAGTTCGAGCATTGAACCCATGATATGTGGCATGAAAGCGCGAAGCGCTACCACTCAACCACCGGGCATACGTTGAACTGAACTGGACAGCAAAAGAATACGGTAAAAATGAAAATTCTGTGGATATAAATGTTTTAGTGCAAAGTTTTATACATGTTGACCAATTTTTTTCAAAATGGTCTAAAAATAAATTTGAATAAAGAATTATTATTATTTTTGCATCAAATTATTTATTAAAATTAATAATTTATGCATCGAATTGCATCCTAAATATTTATGATTGTTTATTTCCACCAAAAAATAATTCTTATTGTCAATTAATAATTGAGTATTTGAAAAATGAAAAGTGGACCTATTATTTTGATATAAACTGAAAATATAACATGTTCTCAACTGAAAACATCAATTTTCACATATATAAATATATTTTCTCAAAAACTGACATATATTTACCTTTAAGACAGATTCTTTGATCATGTGGCGCAAATCTTGTTGGTAATATATTATATCTTTCTTCTGAATAGCAACAAATGTAGCCATGCCTTCTTCAGTAAGAGAAAAGTCCCAAGATCTGTGACCACCACCACATTCAACAGTCATCACTGCACTCTCAAGATGGCTACTCCAGACAACAAAATTTTTCTATTTCAACAGAGAAATCATATTCAATATTTGGTTAAGGGGAAAAAAGAATAAAAATATAACAAATAATTTTGAAAATGCATATTATTACTATTATATGTATATCATAAAAGATATGTGCTGTTTTACCATTTTCATGCATTCTCATTGGGCAGAAAAATCAGATGATATGATGAATAAGTATTAAGTATGATTAATAAGTATTATTAATCATACTTAAGTATGATTAACAAGAATTAAGTATTTTTTTGCACTTTATCACTATAAAATAAATAAAAGTTACTTATTTATTTGTAAATTTTTTAGGGAATTTATCAGCAATTTATATTTACCATCTCTACTAAAGATTATTGTTTAATAATTATTGGGTAATTGACTTAAATTATCATTCAAAATTAAAAGCTAAAAATTAAAAAATATGTACTTTATTACAAAGTTACAATAATATCTTTTTATGCAACATTTTATGATTAAGATATTTAGTGATCATTTTACAAATATCAAATTGTGAAGAAGTTAAAATCAGTCTTAGTTTTAGAAGTTAAAATTAAATTTTATGTTATATGTTCAGTAAAGTAATGCAGTTAAAAGTTGTTAACACAAAATAACGATTTTAAACCGTGTAGCATTAAGAAATATCTTTTCGTACTATTGATGAACAATCTCTTTGGAAGAGAAAAACTTTTAGTAAGTGTTTATAGTAACCAAAAAAATGAAAAAAGTAAATAGAAATAAATTTAAAAAAAATAAATAACAGTTTCTATATAAAATTCCAATGTTAACCAAGCATAAAAATTAGGTTTAAATTTTTTCTTAAAATAACTTTTGTTAACACCATCAAAACATTTTGGGATCTTTAACTTGAATAGTTTTTATTTTGATGTAAAAATTTGTTCACCATCGAAAAACAAGGATGATTGTGAAGCAAGTAGAGGGGTAAAACAAAGCAAGCAGATGACAGAGACCTTTAAAACATAAAATAAGCAAAGAATTAAAGAAAATACAAAATTTTAATTTTTTGTATTAAATGGAAAAGTCTATTTGAATTTGTAGATTTATTTTATGGTCTATTAAACTTATAGTATTATAAAACGATTAAATAACATGTAAAGTACAAATTTCAATTGACAAATAAGACATGCAAATTTGAATGATTTAAATTTCTCAATTCTGACCACTTCTTCACGATAAAAATCAGGAAAAGTTTGATAAAACTAAGATTTTATTAAAAATCTTTGTTTTGTTTTTTAAACATTACTTATATTTAAAAATCACTTGCTGATTACTCACAAAATAATTAAAAAATAAGAGGATTCCAAAAATTTTGCCTTTTTTATTTTTATCATTGTGATATAGTTTATAGTGATATAGTTATTCAATTTCTTGCTTATATATAGTTTATAGTGATATAGTTTATGATATTGTTATTCAATTTCTTGCTTACTCTTAAAATATGACCTTTTTTCATAAACATGGCTCAATAATTAAATTTTGTACTTCTATCTGATCACTTCTCAAGATATAAAGTCACGAAATTTCTGATAAAACTATGATTTACTTCCTTTAACATTATACTCATATTATAATGTTAAACTACTCATATTATTTACGTTTATGCAGAGTAATAAGTTTGAGCTGAGTAAATGACTCTGGCCGAGGCTCGTCAGGGTTGCCATACCTGAAGAAGAAAAAAATCCCTGTGTTTTGCCTGCACATAATATACACAATATTTTAAGAGGAAACACATATTCATAGCACTCCTGTGAGGTACATTACGACAACGATGCTAAGTTTTAGTTTCTGAAAAAACTTAGAGAAATAAGAAACAGCTCAGCATAAAACAAATAATGATATAATAAATGAAATAATATAATATAGATGAACTATCATCTTTAAATATCCCTTAGTTTACCGTTTGAGAGGACTGAAATTTTTAAAAGACAAAAATAAGAAATTAAATTGCCTGTTTTTTCCCAGTTCATAAAGAAAAATTCAAAATTACCTGTTCTCTTAGATTATTTTTAAATTCCTTGAATTTTTTCACATTTTCCCCGTTCTCCCTGTTGTAGGATGCGAACCTTTCTGATTCTGAGATATTTGCTATCAATTGATAAAAGAATCAGAGATGCTAAATTTAGGACTTATCTCTAAGAGATAAATGGGTATGCTCTAAAAGGGAAGATTTAGGCTCTCCCTATTAGAAAGTCTTGCAATCTGCCTGTTAGTGTCACTAACCGTAAAAAAATTTGGCATGTGTGCCTAAGAAAACTTGTGCTTACAACAGGTCGTCATCATCATCAGGTCATCATTTATCAGATTTCCCAACCTGCCCTTTATGTAATGCTAACGACAGACATAGAGACCATTTGGTCCCTTATTCTGAACATAACATTGTAACAGAGAATATATCACTAAAATTCATTGTAACTTATATTTTTTAACTATTTGAGCTATCCAACATAGATCGATGGCAGTCATAATGCCAAGATCAGACAAAGGTTGGGAAAAAAAACTTTGTAATGCCCTTGATTTATTTAATGAGATGAAGTTGAAGAATTTTTAAAGAAAGAAAAATATAAATTGCTTTTCAACAGTGACTACTCCAGAATTATTTTTTTCCTTTTTGTGAAAAACTAGATTCTAGAATAAGCTTGAATCGATGTATACTATGTATACTTGTCTACTTTTCAGGATATAAAAAAATGGAAATTAGGAAGAAGAAAAGATCAGAAGAAAAACTCTATCTTAAGTCTTCCTGCTTTACGAAGAATAAGTAGACACAAGCACTAAACACTATTGAAAAAGTAAAATTTTTTACTTCATCATCAAATATAAATTCTTGTGAGGGGATTAGCCTAAAAAAGAGGTTGCTAATAAAAAGAAGTGCGGTAATGGTGCATAAGGTTAGAGTATTTGAAACAAAATTGATGGTATAAAAGGTAGGGGGAAAAAGACAGAAAGGTCACTTTTAACTTATTTTATTCTTTGTGGATGAATGCTTGACTTACTATGAATGCAATAGCATAACAAATAACAAGCCCCACTACTTAGTAAGTACTTACTGTATGAAATCCAACGAGAAGTAAATGAGACTCATAAAAAATCATCTTTCCGATCCATTCCAAATCATGAGATACCTGAAAATATAAAAAAATTTAGATTAATTATGTATAGATAAAATATTTAAAATATACAAGTAATGAAGCATTGATAATTGACTATCAGAAAAAAGAGCTTTATTATATTTTATAGCAATAATTATGTTTTCTAAAGGTTTTTATTTACTTAAAAAATAAGTATAAAAACATTTAGAATGAATAAAGTAAAACTTTTCCAGCTAAGTTGTTTGGAATACAGCCAGCACAGATATTAATTTAACTGGGCAGCAGACATTATTTTTATAGTTTATCTAATTTTAAGTTAGATTCTGATTTATTGGATAGAATAGTGGTAAGTATAATAAATAATCAAAATTTTAGGTAAAAAGAATCAAAATTTTTTTTTTAAGTGAAGCAATTATTAAACTATAACTATAAATTGTTTAGAATACAAAATTTCTTAAGATGCATATTACTACTAATAGTCAGCAACAAAAAAATTGAAGTTCACTTAAAATTTGAAATTTCTAGCACTCAGGATTTCTAGGAGCTAGCATGCTATTGAATGAAAGCTAGTGTAATATTTATGAAGTTAGAAAAAGACCATTCATACAGTGTTTTCATCATAGAAAAAAAATGGGTGAGAATTTCTCACCCTTTCTCAAACACAGGGTGAGATTTCAAAAAGTTAAGTAAGATTTCTAAAAAAACGCAAAAACTCTTGAAAAAAAAATCATTTCTTTAATTATAATACATTTTTAACGTCTTCTACTTTTTAAAGTATTGAATATTTTTGATACATCATCATAGAATATTTTGCCTTTACAAGATATTTTTCCATCTTACATTAGTGCATAAAAAATTTGAACGTCTTACATGAAGAAACCTTACCTACGGTAAACGCGTGGTTGCAGAGAAATGTATTTTGAAAGGGGTTCCGTGGTTGTGTTCTGTTGTTCGAAAAGGTTCTGAACAATACTGGTAAATAGGGAAGCTAGATNCCTCTTCTCGCGGTAATCATTTTTTAATGCGAGAAAAGAAAAAAATATGCGAGGTTCTCGAGCTGTAGTGAAAACACTGATTCATATTATAATGTAGATTCTAGATTAATCGGGATGGTCAGAAAATGCTTCGTTTTAAACAATCCATTTTATGCACATTTTGATGAAATAAGGATAGAAAATTTAATAACTTTTACATAATGTCTCACATAGTTTAATTACCAATTTCATATTAAAGTTTTAACTGCTTGTCCATTTTCTAGTTTTTTTAATTATTTCCAGCTTTTGGTTTGTACTAAGGACAACCCTTTTGAATTTCGACATGCTAATACTACTAACAGAATGTAAAGCATGCGTAAAATTTTAAATTTGAACAACACTAATACTGGGACAACAGTTGAATCATATCTCGCCTCCCTCCAACTGTCAGCATAGCAAAACCGGCTAACTGTATTAAAGGTCGGCTGGTGGAGTTCAATACAATAGGAAGGATTAAGAATAATCCGGTCTTCCTGCACTTTGAAGCAACTGCAATTCACAATTTTTCTTTTTTTTGAGGGGGAGTTGTTCCAGATAATCCACAACCTGGATAATTCGATATTGGTTAATCAAGTCTAATGTACTAAAAAAAAAAATCACATGACAAACCTGCATACTATTTAAATATAGATTTTGCTATGATTTGTTAAGAAAAATATTTTTTTTCAAAATATTCCGATTTTTAAGGGTTTAAAAAATTCATTAAATTCTACAGAAAAACTGAGTGCAAGCTAGAATTTTCTAGCCACTGTGGCGATCAAGCGCCCAAGATTTGTAGCCATTAGTTATCATTATTCTTAGTCAAGATCAAGTGCCAAGACCTGGTAGAAATTAACATATATGGATAGTATAATAATATTTGTGAGAAATTTTTGTTTGTATAACAAAAGCTTTCAAAAGAAAACAAAAAAAAAGCTAATATTTTTCCTACTTTAAGAGTATGAAGTAATTTAAAATCTTCGTCAATCCAAGAATATTGGTTCACTTTACCATCTCGACCAGAACTATAATAAAATAAGTTATGCTCTTGAATATCAGTAACTCCATTATCACCATGAATATTGTTGAATCTCATGAACGGTTCACCCTGCAAAACAAAAGCTTTAAAACAATGAATTTTATTGCTTACATACAGAAAACAAAAGTTCAGTCAAATATATTTATAGAAAAAATATCTTAAATTTGGCAGAACATTTTTAGTGCACAAAAATTCAAAGCAATGCAAAGACAATCTAAGGATAATTAATTTAATTATTTGATTCTTTGAATTTATTTTGAAGAAACAAGGAATTTGTATCCACCATAATATATTAGAAATATAGATATTTTATATAATCTATCTAAAATCACGCCAATCCAATTTTTTTAAAAAGTAAAGTGGTAGCTAAGACTAATAAAGTATAATTTCAATTTTCTGACCTGCAAGTGTTTCACAATGTTTTTGAAAAAAAAGTTATGAAATCAATACAAAAAGGTGAATTTTCACTTTGTTGGAACAAAATGGGCCAATACGAGCTAAATGAATAAAAAAAAATTTATCAAACCTAAAATTACGCTTGGAATGAAAAAAAAAACGGTGTTTAATGTGAGCTGATGGGCATATTCTTAGTAACTTATAAGAGGGATATTTGAATTGTATTAAAGACTGGAACTAACTTGATTCCTTAGGGCCATGGGGACTCAGGAGAGGTGCTCGCCTCCCAATGGGGTGAACCAGGTTTGAATCCCAGCGATGGATGGTGATACAAATTGCACACCTAACTCGCACTGGCCACAGTGCTGACGTAAAATATCTACAGTAGTAGATGGATCATGGGTTAGAGTCTGCTTGCCATCAAACTAATCATGTTAGGTTTTTGTAGTTTTCCTTTTCATGCAAAGCAAATGCAGGTTAGTTCTATCAAAAGTCCCTCACCCCGAAGACAAATATTTTCAAAATATGTGATCCAAGAGTTGCCTTGTCGTCTGGATAAGGTACAAAGCTATGGAGTTGAACATTGGTAGTCGTAAACCCAGAATCGGGTCAGCTATTCAACGACGGTTATAAAATAAAATAAAATAGCTTGATTACTTGGTCTTTATCATGAAAAACGATTCTTGATTAATAGAATGCAACAGTCATAACAGTGAATCATTGAAAGGTTTAAAAAAATTAATTTATCAAGCTTTTACAAATTAATTTTCATTTCAAGCTATGTTGCACCGAACTCCTGACAATACTGGAAATAAAAAACTTAATACATTACATACTCCGAGTAACCCAGTTAAACGCTGTTACGAATTAAGTCAGAAGCAAAGCAAAATAAGTACAGTAGAGAACCGATTATCTGGAACGATCGGGACCATCGCGATTCCGGATAACTGATTTTTCCGGTTTTTTGAATCGTTACAAAATGCAGTTTTCTTTAATGTTTATAAAACGAAACTAAAAAATTATTTTGAAATAGTTTTAGAAATAATAAAAAATGATAAATAATAATAGACTTAAGTTTAAATAAGGAAAGAAATTATGTACAGGCTTATATATGTTATTAATGTTATTATTAACATTAATAACATATATAAGCTATTTGTGCTTATGTGAGATTTGTCTACAAACGGCTTTTGATCCGTCCTCTATATCAGCTCTTTCGTCAACTCGATACGCCGTACGCTCTATATAACAAAATGGGCTTAAAATCTAGCAGGAAAAAATAATTTTTTTAATGGAAGAAAATTAATTTCCGGTTCCGAATTTCATTCCGGTTATCTGGTTTTCCGATTTCCGGATAAGAGGTTCTGCACTGTATTAAAGAAAAACTTGGATACCTTCAGAGTCATAATATTCATATTTATTTTTTAATAAAAAGGTGAATCTCAAATAAATGACATACAAAATGCGCTTAAACCAAGTTACCAAAAAAAAAATATAAAAAATAACTAATAAACATAAAATCTGATTTTTGCAAAATAAAATTAAAGGCAATTATTGAAAAAAATCTTTTTTTTAAAAAATAGAAGATCAAAGCAATTTAAAGATTGCATGGATTTCACTTTTTGAGTGTTCTGTTAGAGAATTTAATTTCTTAAAAACAAAAAAAGGCATTAACAAACCATCTCATTATTTTCATCTAATTCAACAGAATAACTATATGCAGACACACTGCCACCTCTATCGCCAACAACCAAGAATGTATCTGAGCTGATATGCAATGCTGTTGTTGACCACCAATGACCTTTACATTTTGGAAGAAAAAATTTTTGCAAACACTGAACTTCAAATTCCTCCTCATAGGATACTCTCCATAGAGTCTGTAAATACATGTAAATAAAATATAATTGCTCTAACTGTTACATTTAATTGCTGTAAAAATTATAAATAAATAATCTTGCCATTATATTCATGTGTTATCAGATATTTCATAAACAAAATATACAGGGTGCGTAGCCAAATTATTTAACAAAAAATAAGCACCTCTGAAGCACTTTTCAAGCACTCAAAAAATATTTTTAAGCACTTTAAAAAAATATCATAGTTATGCAGGGTTGGAAAGTTTTTGACAATTGACGGTTTTTGTTTGAACCATCATGTCAAAAAAACAAAACCAAAAAAAACCATTTGGCACTGTTTTTAACAATTGTCACAAATCATGAAATTTTGAATCATGTAAAGCAAATGGCGTTTTCATATGCTACGGACTGACAATACGCGTAAATAGATTGGGGTTGAATTAATTTAGAAAATGTTGAATAGAACAATGTGAACTGTGTTTCTTTTTCTTTTTTTTCGCATAATTCGAAGCAAAAATCAACATAGTATAGGAAAAATCTCATTTTGAAACATGGAAAATTAAGCACTTTTTAAAAACACCCAATGAAAAAAGCAGCTTTAAGGGCTTTTAAAAAACGAAAATTGAAAATAAGCACCTTTAAGCATTTTTTAAAAACGCTATGCACCCTGATAAACTATATTAAGTTAACATTTTATTAGTATTAATAATAGTATTACTAATAAACAACAAATACCAAATGTCCTTCTGTTCCACATGAAAGAAGAGCATCACCTGTTTTGCTGCACCAATGCAAAGAGCATATCATACTATCATGTGCTTGTAATTTCTTGTACCTTTTATCACTTAGCTCTAAAAAATTTTGGAAAAAAATATACATAACTGAAGATGCCATACAATATGAAAGTAATATTAGTACTGGAAAAAAATTATTACCTTGCCTGTGTATTAGAATTAGTTCACCATCGAATGTACCTAAGGCTATATAGGAACTACCACTTGATATCGACATAATACAATAATTAGTAATAGAATAATCAAGAAAAACATCGTCCCACATTTTTGTTTTCAGATTGTACTTAGATAATTTTCTGCAAAATATTTTCATAGATTTTAAGGGAAGATTAAAACAAATTTGTATGTCAAAATATTAAAATATAAATAATATGTAACTGCTGTTTTAAAATTTTTTTTAAAAATGCACTTCATAGATAAAACATCAGAAAATTGTGTCATAATATTTGTGGTTAGGGAAAATAGTAAGAATGGGGTATAAGAAAATGTTAGGAAAATGTAGAATTACACTTGCAAAAAAATCAGTAGGAGAAATAAGCACTCATTAACTATGTTACACATTGTCAGAAATAGAAAAGGAAATGACATCACATAAAAAATTTTTTTCTCTATATCTCACACATGCTGACAAAATGTTTCTTCAACATAATATGCATTAATTAATCTAAATATAACGTTAAAAAAATTGTATACAGGTGATGAAAAAAAACATAATAGAAAGAGGCCAATTATGAGCAAAATTTTAAGAATATGCATAATACTCATATCCATCTCAATGACTCATTCATTATAAATATTAACGACTCATTTCATAAATATTAAGACATTTCTGGCAGTAGCATTTAAGCAATCTGTGATATCAAAAGTTGCTATTATTTTTTCATAGTTTAGATAATGCTTTCAAAAAACATAATTTTGTTTTATTATTGATAATTAGTTTAAAAATAAATTTATTCCCTTTTTCAACCACTTAAAATTTACAGACATCTTTGTTGTAATTTGTTATTCTGAATTTAGTAAATCTGGATAAATTTTATTATATTAATTTTGAACTGAATTCAATGTTCATAAATTTTTTTCTGTTTAGTTATTTAGATACTTCACATATGGATTTATTTCTTAGTTACAATTATTCATATTAATTATCTTATTAATATTAATTTCATATATTTCAAATTTTTAAATAACATGCATTTACTGTGTTTAATTTTTATCTTCCTTAAAATTGTAAATTCTATTTTTGCAATACATAGTTTTGGAAGCCTTTATTTTTAGAATAACACACAACATCTGTTTGCACGGGTTACAGACAGCTGGTGTGTACAAATTTCTTAGTAACAATTATTCATATTAATTATGTTATTAATATTAATTTCAGATATTTCAAATTTTTTAATAACATACATTTATTGTGCTCAATTTTTATCTTCCTTAAAATTGTAAATTCTATTTTTGCTATACATAGTTTTGGAAACCTTATTTTTAGAATAATACACACCACCTGTTTGCACGGGCTGCAGACAAATAATGATTTATGAAGATGGAGCTGCAGATTGACTTATTTCTGCCCCTCCGGGCATATCAGATCCTTTTTATTTCATTATGGGCTTAATTGAAAATGCACATACATAAAGAGGTGAAATTTCACTAAGAAAGAATGAAAAAGAAAATCAAAAAATACTCACTCAGTCCCCATATAAATTAAAATAGATTCATCATCCCCTTCTGTGTACAATGAGCATAATCTAGGAAAAATGCACTGAAAAAAAAAAAATTCTATAAAAATACAAACAATAGTCAGACATACATAAATTGAAATCTAGTAAATATAAAATCACAGAAGATTATGTTAAGCATATGGAGATACAGTGAAACCTCCAGCAAAGATCACCCCTGCGTAACGATCTCCTCTATTAATGACTAGTTTAGGTAAGCAAGAATTTTTTCGTAGACTTTGTGTGGAAGAAAACCTCAAAGAGAGACTATCAAAACATCCCGCAGCAACCGGACAATCCTTTGCACCAAATGCGGAAAAGGTTCATTAAGAAAACATGGAAAAAAAATCAAAACAAAAAATTTTAACAAAACAAATAAGTAGATTAAAATGTATTCAAGATATTTGTGTTAGGCTCTTATTTAGAGACCTCTTTTTGGCAATCTCTGAAAGATTCATCTACAAATTCATGTTGCAATCAGAGTACACTAGAGAAAATGTTATCAATGTTTTAATTTTAGAGATGAAAGTTATATTTTTTAAAAAAAAATGATTTTACAAAGAAAATTATTTAACAAAAAGAAAATATTTTAGAAAAAACTGAGCCTCTCAAACAAACACGCTTTAAAGCTAACTAATTTATATGAAATACAATTAAATCGAACAAAAACATAATTCTTTACTTATTTACTTATTATAACAGTTTGCTCTCTATGATAATTAGTAAATTTGTTTTTACACATAATTATATCAGTAGGGATCATTTTTATTGACCCTAAAGTTTATTCATCAATCCGGTTCTTAAAATGTCAACCCAAGTGGCATTTCTGCCCCAAGAAAGTGATGGTGGCTAAAATGAAAATAGTTTGCGAAAAATCATGTATCGTCGATGACATTTTGAAGCCAATGAAGGTAACCTCTAAGAATGACTAACCAATATATTGTGGAGCCGAGAGTGGTTGCTCTCGAGAGGTTTCACTGTATCAATAAAAAACTGAAGCATTCAGTAATTTGAAAGATATTTCCATGTTTTTTTTCTCAATTACGAAAATATTTAAATATTTTTTAAATGCTGTTGATTATTTCTTATTAATTATGTAAAAAAATTTAAAAAAAGAAAAGAAAAAGAAATTTGAAAACACAGACCTTAAAAAAACAATTTTCCAATTCTTATATTAAACAAAAATTTATTTTGAAGAGAAAAAAAAACAAAAATTCATAAAAATAAAAGGCCGGAAATATAAATTTACTAAATGTTTTATGATTGCTATTGCTTGCTTATCAGGCAAGGAGAGAATGTAATTTAATTAAAATCACATTTCAATACACTTTTTCTAGTAAAATAAAGTTGAAATATTATTTTTATACCACAAGTTAAATCTATAAGTTTCATATTTTCAGAAAAATTTTGAAATAACTTACCAAAACATATAATTTGATTAATTTGCTTGAAATTAGGTCTAAAAAAATGCAATGTATATTTAATGTAGAAATACAATATTATATTTATATATAAATCGTGGACTGTTGGAATGCATTTGAATAGATCAGAAAATATTAACTGGCTGTCAATTATTCTATTTATAAATATACATAAGATAAGATTACTTACAATAAATTACATCTAATGATTATGAAAACATTAATTAATTATTAACAATTCTTTTAATATAAGTTACACCTTTTTACTAACTAAATACTGTTTGCAATTTAATCACAAAATAAACAATGCACAAATAATAACATATGAATTGTACCAACATTGTAAATAATATTATTATCATCTATTTGTTAAAATTCATATTTAATATATTCATATTAAAATTGATATTCATAAAAGATAAATAAGATAATAAATTTGTATAAATAAATAGTAGTACTCTCCTATATACCAACTGGAATATCACAGTTAAATTTTATATTTTATTTTATAAGATTTTATTCAATAAATAAGATTCAAAAATTTTAATAATTACAGATAGTCAACAAAATACTACATTTTGTTGAACCATACTATCAAAAATTTTATTGCAAGCAGGTTCTAAAATCAATCATGGCTTTGTGCTGACTTTTAAATTAAAGGGCCAAGTGAAAAAGCTGCGCATTTTTAAACTTTTGATTAAGAATTTACCTCTCTGTTTTTACTGAATCAGAATATATCTGGTTTGAAAATGATAAACAATCAAAATAATGAATAGAAACTAGTATTATTAAACTTTGAAACAATAATGAAGCAAAGTAACCTATTTTAAAATTAAATATATTAAAATTAAATGTTAGAGTAATAAATTTAATATTATTAAAACCATTTTGGAGTACTGAATTTGATTCCATTGACAGTTAAAAAAAAATTATAAAACAAATTGGCAGCAAAATCATGTCAAATTAATAAATATCATAAAATTAAAATTAAGAAAAGCATAAATAATTTAGTAATAAAAGTAAGCTAATTGTACTTTGGTAAATATTAAATACACATCAAAAAACTTTATTTTACTTCAATATTACTCTAACTTTGAATTAATTCCTTAAAAATAGAAGATAATAAATTTAAGTAACTATGAAAAAAAATAATTAAACAAATCAACTTAACCCAGTAAAAGATGTGTCACAAAAAGCTGCTGACATGAAAGATATCACATATCCTAACACTTAAGATACTAATCCATAGTGTAATTCAGTTTAAAAATTTATTTCTATTTATATCCTTAAGTGAATAAAACTTCAGTTGTAAAGAATTAATTTCAAATATAAGTTAAAACCATATTAAAATTAGTATTCATAAAATTATTAATAAATCTCACAGTTGTAGCATATCAAATTTATACTAGCTATCTTTCTCTCTCACTCTCTTGCCATAATGCACTTTAAAAAATTTAATTAAAAATATAATTATATATTTAAGAATAAGCATGAAAAATGTAATTTTTTCAGGAATGTGAATTCTCACATACCCCATTTTTAATAAAATAAACCTTATCAAAAATGCAAATTTAAAGAAAACCTGGTATGGAAGGCAAAACACAGAAAGAAATTTAGCTTCTGAATGCAGCAAAGAATTTCATTCTCGCAAGTTAAAAACATTTTTTTTTTTTTTTGGTTTAATACACCCCACATGTTAATAAATTCTGCAAGCTAATGAAGAAATGCTTTTCCATAGGTTTTTATGTTGAAAATCAAAACAAACAAAAAAAATCATAAAAATACCTTATTTTTTTTTAGGCCCCTGTCAGGTGGAAGATGACTAACAGCATTGTCAGCATTTGGATTATTTAAGAGAGATTGGAATATGTTACTTTCCTGAAATAGAAAAGGATAAATTTTAAATATTAAAATGAAAAACATTAGAAAAAAAAGTTTATCGTATTCAGGTACTTTATCATATCATAATTATGAAAAAATTAAAAAAAATTTAAAATTTTGAATGCTTATAAATAGTATTATAATGAAATTTTAAAGCTAAAATACAGAAAGAAAATAGACTTAGGCGAAGGCATTTAACTCAATTTATGGACATTTTAAAGAACCTGATATCATCAAAAGTATAAAAATTTAAAATATGAGCTGCTCATATTGCTAGAATGGAAGGAGAAAAAAAACCAGGAAAAAAAATTTGTGTGCCAAAGCCTTCACAAGTCGGAAAAGTGGAAGGCCAAACAATGATGGCTCAATTCTATGAAATCAGAATAGGTTTTGGAGTGAATGGGGTAAAAAAGTGACACTCCAGGTCAAAATAGAGGTTGTCCTGAAGGAATCTTTAACAAAAAGCCTTGATGCACCCTGGCTGTGATACCAAATATAATGATGAAAAGGATTTGGAAAGGATTAGGCAAAAGAATTTGGCTCAAAGAAAATTATTTTTGTGTATTATATTTGAAATATGGATTCAAAAATCTGATAAAATATTAAAACAGTCAAAGAACTTTAACATTCGAGAAATTTTAAACATTCAGTAAAATTCTTCCATTAAAATAATTAAAAATTAAATTTAAATTATGTAAATACTTTGTAAAATTTTAAGAGAGAAACTCCTAATTTCCTCCCATTTGAAATAGTTAGAAAATTCTTTATCTTAATTCTCAATTATCATGAAGTATTTTTCCAACTGAGTCTAGCAAAATGATTAAGAAATGGCATCAATTGACTTATTATTTTAATCTCCTTAGAATAAAAATATTCTTTTCATTAAAAGGCTAATAAAATTATTTAAGAAATGACAAATTAAATTGTAAACAATTGAAAACAATTACAAAATATTTTTACACATAATTTTATACATTTTATATCCGGCTAGGTTTTACACAAGGCCATTTTACATAAATGTCAAAAGTAATAAAATCTCTAAAATATTATATTAGTGGATATAAAACTGTTCAAAAGTTTAATTTTTACGCTTGTTATTAGATTTTAAAAATACATAAATTTAATTTTTATCCATAGAAGCTGCAGTACAAACCTGTTGTTAATATCTTTTGAAACTTATTAAAAAAAAATTCCTCTTAAAAAAAAAAAAAAAAAAAAAAACTGGAAAGTATGATGGATATGTATAAGCTTAAATAGATATGCATATGCCTAAATCGTCTGTTAACGATGAGATATAGGCATTATTAAAATTTTATTGACTAATAAAAGTATATGATGAGTGTTTTTAATTCCAGCATTTTTAAATAATATCCCTTTTTTATTTATAGCCTAAATAACAACAACTGACATTAATAACTTATTTCAGTTCAACTAAAAATTTATAATGAAAACTCACTTCAATGCTCTTGAAAATGAGATGTTACGCAAGAATTAGAAAGAACAATACTGAGAAAATTAAGAAATTGTTATAGTTCCAAAATTATATAAGAAAAAATGAATTCCAACCTAACCTGTCTAAAAATATTAAATGAAATACTGTAAAAACTATTTCATAATTGACGGTTACAGCAGTACAGTTTTGAACAAAGTTTCAAAAATACTTACTTGTGATAACTGTGAAATCAGATTTGATTGAAGGGCTTGAGATACACCCCAAATATATACACCACCATCACTTCCACCAGTAAACTATTAATAAAAAACAAATGTTATTAAAAATTATAAAAATATACATCTATTAAAAATATTATTTCTATGTTTAATAGTTAAATATTTTTATTGTTTTATTTTTATTATTTTATAACTTTCTAAAACTTGGTATTAAATTGAAAATACTAATAAAAGGCTGAGAATATAATTTCAAAATGTTATGTAAATAGCAAAAGCACAGCAAACAATATTAAAATCAACTACTTAAAATAGATTTTTAACTAAGTGACACATGAGGGTCTTCATGAATTCACAGTAATCATTATGACATGACTAGATGCACACCAGTAAGCTCTGAACTACCTCAATGGGGGCTAACTTTTGCCAACTGTAGTACCTTTTGAGCTGTAGTATCTTTGTATTACAATCTCTTAAAATGGATGAAAACATTAAAAATAATACAAATTGTGTGCATAGGGTCATTTGTTTTACAAATGCACAAAATGCTTGGCAGAATATATATGATAATAGTGCAATGAACAATGCTATAATTTAATGAACAATGATATAACTATAATTTCATTATTATATGACATGTTTAACGAAGAAAAATCCGGATTGCACAACAAAATTCAGAAGGGAAGGTAATCACATATAACAGATAGGTTGAGATGATTTAGAGTTCACAAATGATAAAGACCTCAAAGTGATAATCTTGCTTAAATGCTTGGCAACAAAAGAACTTAATATTGGAATTTAAAAAAATGGTCCTACATTACAGTAAGTTTCTGAACAGCTATGACAACTATATTAAAAAAAACTATAATGTACTATGACCTTAAAATTTTTAGAAATCATTTAAAACTGTACACTTAGAAATTATTGCGATTGAAAATTTATAAACTTTTATTGATAAATTATAAAATACAATACAAAAAAAATGGATTCCCTTTTTAAATTATTATTTTTATTTTTAAAATGTTTATTATTTTTATTATGACTGATTATTTATTTATTTTCCTTATTTAAGCAATGATGATAAATGAGGTATTGAGATTTTAATTGTCAATAACTTGAAACTTCTACCACTCAATTCAAATGACAATTTCTCTTTTTATACTCTAATTACATGCTAAGCACAAAAGAATGCTGGGAAAATATGACACAATAAACAATTGAAAAGTTCATTTATAATATTTGCACAACAAATTTAAGATAATTGAAGTCTACAAGTGTCTATCTTTAAAATTCTGAATTACAAATTTCCCTAAAAATCCCAGTTTAAAATATGTAAGTCAAAAAAGAAAATAATTAAAATAATGAATTAAAAAATTAAGTAACATTATATAGTCAAAAGAAAATCTGCAAATTGTTTTCTCATATCCATATCAATCCGAAAAATTTTAAAAATACAAATAACTTGCATGAATATAAAATTATCCCAGATTCTATGTAAAGCTTAAAACTTCATATTTCCTCAACTTACTTCATTGTTTTCTATGCTATACATACTTTTTGATGAGCATTAAAAATGAAAATAGTATAGCCAGAATAAAAAGCTGGTGAAAATAACATTAATTTTTCACTCCTAATACATGTTAGACAGATGTGCAAAAAGAACATAAATAGAAAAGTATTTTCATTACCAAGTTAAAACACATAACATATAAATACAAAATGCAAATTGAGAGTAAGAAATCTTACAGCAAATATGTTTTCTTGGTTTAGATTATTATCTTGAACAGTGGTTTCAATGCACCAAATGCTTCCATTCTATTAAAATATATAAATATACATATACATGTAATTTATTTAAAATAATAATTAAAATATCAAAAATGAAAATGGAAAAGAAATGCCAATTTTATAAATAAAATATTAGTGGTGAATGCAATTTTTAAACTAGCTGTTTAAAAATGTTTGTTTGTAATGTAATGTTATCAACTTTTCCCAAACAATAAAAAGTTCACAGTTTTTGGACAGATAGTTGCTGTAACAAATATTAGAATTAGCAGCATATTTTGAATTTAGCAGCATAACTTTAAGCAGCCTATACTTATTTAGAAATATATCCCATGTTTTGCCAATTTCAATCATTTTTTTTCCTTCATTTTCTTTGGTTCATTCAGAATTAAACATACAGATTTTGTATACCTATATCTTTTTATTCGTAATAGGTTGATTCTCAATAAGAATTGATGGCTGATTGCATGGGATCACAAAGGGTTAGATTTCTTCCCGAAATTGATTTGAATATATTTTCAGGTAAACTATTTACATTTTAAGTTCAGAATCAATAGTGCCTTAGTGTTACACTTCCTGAATTTTTTTTTAATGTAATCATCGTCCATTGAACGTAAATAAGCAAATGATTTTTATAATACAATTTTTTTTTAATTCATTTATCATTGCATAAGATGCCCAATGTTATATAATATATTATTGATTGGTGCTAACTATTAATTTTTAAAAAAAGCTTATAAGAAAAATTATTATTAAAAAAAACCTACACTAAACAAATCCAAATTTTGTAAATGTAAAGAGCTTTACTATAAGTGGAAGCTAAAACAATAAAATAATGAAATGCACATTAAACCAAGAGAGCTGGAAAAAAAAAACTTTAGCAAAAGATTTCAATGAACCTTGTGTCCTTTGAACTTCTTAAGTAATGTTCCTTCCAAACTCCAAACACAGATGAAAGAGTCCTAAAAATAGGAGAGAAAAAAAAATTTCAGCATAAAAAGTGAAACACAGATTAAGTGAGCTTTATTCATATTTTTTGACATAACTTTCTAAGTAATAAAATTTTTTACATGGTAAAAACCCATTATAATGGCAATTCACATTAACAGATTTGTAGTTATAGCAAGTTTGTCATTGATAGCAAATACATGCTTCCATGTTAAAATAGCAATAAAAAAGACTAAAATGAAACAGGAATAAAGATCCCTTGTTTCCTTTCATTTTGAACAGCTACACTAAACTTCAAAATTCCAGAGCCTTTACTCTCCTTAAACGTCTTCCATGACCACAATGAACTATAACAGGAATGCTTTACTTTTTTTAACACTAAACTTCAACTCAAACAAGTTAGTAACACGAAGTTGTTAAAGCCTTACAAGTTTTTGCTATAAGCAACAACAAAAATTAAATAAAGTGTAATAGCAATTGTCATCATTAATGCCACTGAATGCTATTTTTAATAGTACATCAAGAAGAGATATAAGGAAAATTTGCAGATACATGGTCTACTAAAGCATAAAGTAATAGAAACATTGCGTTTACGAAAAAAAATATTTGGATTAAATAAAATTGTACATAAGTTTTTTTTATTTTAATGCGAAATATTTTTTTATTCTAATAATTTGAGCAAGATTCTTGCATTTTGTTGGAAAAAACATGATTTATTTCTTTTTTTTGCAAATCATTATTACATAAAAAAAAAACTTAAAATTTTGAAATCCATAGCAGTAACTACCTAAAAAAAAAGATCTACAGCGAAATTACTCATATTAAAAAATAATTAAAAATTGTGAAATCCATAACAGTAACTACCGGGGAAAAAAAGATGCACTTTAAAATTACACGAATCAGATCAGACTTTTCAAAAAGGGGTTGCTAAATTAGTGTTTTGTTTCGGGATTCGGTTGTTGTAATAATACAGTATTAAAAATATTGGATTTTAAAAACTAAATGGAAATCAATAACAATAACTGACAAAAAAATTCAATAAAATCATTGAGTTAAAAATTAAATATTCAAATGCATGATTGAAATTTTCCATATTGTCAGATATATATCAGGATGTTTAAAAATTATGTGAATTTCAATAGCTACCAGAAATATAATCAAAACACAACATGGATTTACGATACAATCGGCATAAAATAAGCACGCCAAAAAGTGATTATTTAAATGCACAATTCAAATTTTATGTGAAGAAATAATATGAACTGAGACATAACCGGAATTTAAAAAACCCTATGGAAATCAGTAGAGCTAGCAATAATTGCTGAAAAAATTTTGAAATTGTCGTATTAAAAAAGCATATTATGAAATATGTAATGATGAGATTCACACGTAATAAAAAAATTTTTAAAAAAACATTGAGAATTTTTTTTAATGTGCAAATTCGTAGCAATGACTGTCGAAAGAACGATTGAAACACCATATGGATTAACCATATCGGTGCAAATTGGGCATGTTAAAGAGTGATTTCTTGATTCCAAGATTTGAACTTTGCACGACGTAATAATATCAGCATTTATTAAAAACAATCAAGAGCCTTGTGGCAGAATTTTTTCAGTCTTTCTGCGATAAACTTCCCTAGCACTAATATTTGCTTTAAGATACCTTTAATTATAACAGTTACTAATTTAAAGTAACAGAAACGTTGTGTTTACAGAAGAAAGTATAGAAAAAAATTTATAAAAATTTTAATTGTAAAAGTAATATTTTTTTAATTCTAATATTATGGGCGATATTCTCGCATTTTGTAGGTGGAAAAATGCACTAAATTATTTCCTCTGTCGAATTTTGTAAATCATTACACAAATTAAAATTCGAAAATAATTTAAGAAATAATGAATTAAAATTTGTATATAAATTTACAAATCGCAAAATCTGTGCAGTCACGCCCAAAATATAGATCACGTATCTAGGGAGTAGGACTTTTTAAAAGAGAGATACTAAGATAAGTGTATGTAAAATATGGTGCTCTTTAAAGAAAAAAAAATTAAAGAAAGAACATAATTTATAGAACAAACTATCTTTTAAACTTTCGTGATTTCTGAATATTTTATTTTATATTGATTTAAAATTCTAGCTAAAGACAGTCATTACCGATTTCTTTAAAAATCTCAAATGAGAAGAAAAAAATCATGATCATTTGATAAGCAAGAAAGACATCCATGAAAAAAAATTCTACTGGGAAAAAAACATTCTTTTTTAAAATTATGCAAAAAGGAAAACCAAAATTTGTCCCTTCCCAAATGAAAAATCTTTCTGCAAAAACGCTGTAATGTTCTGCAACAATGTCGCCCCAATTCTGCCACGGGGATTAATACTATTTAAAATTTAACTTGTTTCACCATTTTGCTAAAATATGAATCGAAATCAGAAGGAAAAACATGTGTATCACAATCTTTAAGCTGTGCGATTTTATTTCTCCTCTACTCTGATTGAACATAAATTGGCAACCAGACACAGAAGCTGGTGTACTGAATAAGAATTCATGTTTTACTACACTCCATTCAAAACAAATGAATTGAAAAACAGGTGCAGTTACAATTCAAGTGATTTCCAGTGATTTTTCTGTTCCTTGGCTATCACTATGCTCAAAGGGGAATAGCAGAAACGACAGATGATTTGAAAAAAAAAATAGGAAAAAGTAGGAAATAGGAGGAAAAAAAAGGGAGTGGTTTGAAAATAATAGGAAATATAGGAGGTCTGAGATCCCTGATAACATAATCTCATTTTCTATATCAGGGCTTCTTAAACTTTTTTATATAGCGACCCCCTTCAAGCTTAGGAAATTTTAAACGACCCCCTCCTCCATATAATGAAATATATATTAACCGTAGATGTAGATGTAATATCGCACTATTTTACAATGTAAATAAAATAAGGATTAAAGAATACGTACCCATTCATTTCACATATATATAATTGGAAACGTTGACGGGATATCGGTCGTAATAAAACACAATAAATAGAATGACATAAAACTATATATATATTTATTCAATAGAAAAAATAAACTTTTGTAACAATTTTTTTATAAGAAAACATAAAACTATATCTATATATTCAATAGAAAAAATAAACTTTTGTAACAATTTTTTTAATAAAAACATATTATTAACATCAAACAATATTAATGTGACGGATGTGATTGTTTATTTTTACACAAATAATTAAATCTAGGCTCAATTTGAGTTAGTGCAGATCGTAATAAATTTTCAACGTTTATTAAAGTTGAACGGTATTTTGATTTTATGTAAGTTAATGTGGAAAAGGCTGATTCACATAAATATGTTGTACAAAATGGCAGTAATTTGTTCATTGCCATTTCCGATAGTAGGGGATATTCTGATTTGATTTCTATCCAAAATTCATGCACAGGCACTTGAGAAAATCTAAGTCGCAAGGTAGTATCACTTGTTAATTCGGCAAATTCTTCTTGTGCTTTTAAGTTTAAAAAATTAATTTCTTCCATTTCAATTGAAAATGGATTGCAAATCCATTGTTGTGTATCGATATCATTGGGAAAATACCTATGCATGTAAACTTCCATATCCTTCAAATGATTAACTATAATTTTTGTTATAGGAGTATCTTTTTTTGAAATATTGTTACTAATTATATACTCGTCAGTAAATGGAAACATTTCGAGCGATCCACTTTCCACTCTGTTCTTCCATATAAGAATTTTTTTAACAAAGGCCTCAAGTTTATTTTTTAACATAAACATATTAACGCAGACTCCCTGCATTGATAAATTCATATCATTGATTTTATCAAAAATATCTGCCAAATAGCATAGCTTGAGAAGCCATAAATTATCTTGAAAATAATCGGCCAAATTAGAATTTTGCTCTGTTAGAAATATAAGAACTTCATCTTTTAAAGTTAATAATCGTTTCAAACTTCGACCTCTTGATAGCCACCTAACTTCAGCATGTAGCAATAAACTTGTATAATCCGAATCCATATCAATGCACAAATTTTTAAACAATCGACTATTAAGTGCTCGACTTTTAATAAAGTTAATGATTTTGACTGCATCAAAAAACACAGTGTTTAATTCTGGTGCAATTTTTTTAACAACAAGTGCCTCTCGGTGAATCATACAATGTGTAAATGTAATATGATCATTTCCAGCTTTAACAAATGCTGTAAAACCAAGATCTTGTCCGGTCATTGCTGCAGCACCGTCCGTGCACACACCAACACAATTTTTCCAATTTAATCCTTCTTTTTCAAAAAACTCATTTACTTTTTTATATATATCTTTTCCACGAGTATGACCTTCCAGAGGACGACAAAACAGTATATCTTCATGAATGCTTCCCTCATAAATATATCTTACAAAAAGTAACAACTGTGCCATTTTTGAAATGTCTGTCGACTCGTCCAGTTGTATTGCAAACTTTGAGCTGTCTTTAAGCCTCATAAGAAGCTGTTGAAATTGATCATTGCTAATGTCTGAAATTCTTTTGGACACAGTGTCATTTGATAATGGAATTTTACTAATTTCAGCAGCATACTGTTTTCCATGAACAATTTCAGACATTCTTATAGCTGCAGGTAGTAAAAGTTGCTCTCCAATAGTAAAAGGCTTTTTCGTTTTTGCTATCAAATACGAAACTTCATACGATGCCAATAGATATTTATCATTCAAAGTAACATACTTCTCCAAAGTGTTCTTTTCTTTATTTGATGTTTGCAAAAGACGCTCAAAATATTCTATTGGCTTTTTTGATAACGTTGCATGTTTAGTATTCAAATGTCGTTGCAGTTTTGACGGTTTCATGCTTTCTGCAGCCAAAACTTCTTTGCAAATTAAGCACACTGGTTGTTCTTCATTGTTGTGAGAAGAGCATGTGAAGCCATACTGCAAATATGATTCGTCATATTTTCTTTTTTTTGTTTTGCTAGAAGTCGGATTTGAAGCACTGCAACTTGGTTGTGACGGCGTGGCAGACTTATTAGTTGGAATTTTAATTAGCCATTTATCCATGATGGTTAAATAATAATAAATAATTAAACAAAATGTAGTTGAACTTTAACGTAATAATTAAAAACACCAACTGAAAATTACACAGTAAATACACACATGTCACTACGAAGACAAAGCTGAGTCCAAACTGAAGTACAAACAGAAAAATAACTACACTCGAATCTTTACCAGTGCAATGACAACAAATTACGATCAGATCAACCCCGACGCATGGCGTGTTCAAAGTGTGCAGCGCACAAAGGCACCGTATCACAAAGACGCCGAAAAAGAAGCTTTCATTTAATTTTTTTTATTATTCTTTTATAAAAATAATATGCCGATTCGCCTAGCCTAGCTTGATTATGCTTCCGTATTGTATGTGTAAGCTGTAAGGCGACGCGGCGTCTGGGTACTTATAATCACTAAGTTATCTTGCAAACACTGACGCCGGCGGCCAGACATCAATGTCGAACGTTCAGTTGAAAATCGAGGAGCGCGTTGTATTTATTATTTTAAATGCTACTTCCATATTTTCATTTATAGGCCCTACATAACAGTTTTGCATTGCCACTTTTTTCAAAAAATAGTTATAATAAAACTACAATAGTATTTTGTATGATTTTTATTTGTATTTATATTTGTACGTAGTGTGTATACTAATTTTAAAATTTTATTTATAATGATTGAAAAGTATCAGATCTTTGCGACCCCCTTTCAGTAGTCTCGCGACCCCCCTGGGGGTCGCGACCCACAGTTTAAGAAGCCCTGCTCTATATGACACTAAGTGAGTAAATCCTAGACATGGCATTAAAAGAATTAAAAAGTAGAAAAAAAAACTCGAAAGAAATACTAAGATAGTAAAATAAATTTTATCTAACATGAGCATATTTTCGAATAAAAGGTCTGTTTTGCCTCTAGTTGAATTTTATCTAACATGAGCATATTTTTGAATAAAAGGTCTGTTTTGCCTCTAGTTGAAATATTTAAGAAAAAAAAATTTTGAATTAAATAATGAATACAGAACCACTAATGATTTTAACTGAAAATAAATAATTTAGAGTATTTAAAACAAAATGCTTTTTAGAGTGAATATAATATGAGCATATTTTTGAATAAAAGGTCTGTTTTGACTCTAGTTGAAATACTTAAGGGAAAAAAATGTTGAATTAAATAATAAATACAGAACCACTAACGATTTTAACTGAAAATAAGTCATTTAGAGTATTTAAAACAAAATGGTTTTTAGAGTGAGCTATAAAAAAGAACTAGAGGAATTAGCCAATAATTTACATATGCTCTTGCAACAATGAAAAACAATAATAAAAAACACTTCAGTTATATATATATTTTAATTATCAAGCACAGAACAATTGCTTCATAACATAAATATTTTACTTACCTCTCCTATACTTAGAATACAAGAATTTAAAATTAAAGATCTCCATACTCTTGATTCATGCGCATAAAGAACATAAATTGATTCAATAGTAGAGTTTCTCCAGAATTCAAGAGAAGAGGCAAATTGATCTTTACTGTGAACTTTCCAAACTCTTAAACTACGATCATCAGATGTAGAGCAAATGATTTTATGTTGTTCATTGTAGGTAACAGAGAAAATAACGCCCTAAAAATACAATAAGTTTTAATTATTTCTGCAACTATAAGCCTTTTATAAATATTTTAAGCTTTCCTGATAACTAGCAGCATAATAAGACAAATTTTCTTTGTATTGAAAAGTTTGATTTTCTTTATAACAATTTTGCTAGTGAGAAAATATTGTTAATGTTACTTATAAACTATTACAAAATATATTACACAACATCACACAATTTCGCTAATTTATAAAAATAATAACAAAATTTTGAGTCTCAATTAGAAACCTTATTATAATATTAATTGATTAAAAAAAATGAGTTTAAGGAATGTTCCTGAAAGTTAATTGACTCAAGATTCTGACTCTTTTAATAATCAGACTAATTAAAAGAAAATTTTAAAAATTGCTATTGAAATAATATAATTTGATTTTTTTTTTACATTTACTTTATATTAGAATACACTATAGGAGAATACACTCATTCACAATAAGACATATATCATAGATATAATTTGTGCTCCATCTATAATAATTGTTAGAAAAATATACATAGGAGGAAAAGGCTAGGTTGCATAGACATAATGTAAACCAGTTTTCCAGTGGTAGGTAAGACCCTTTCCTATACAAAGGAAAAAGCAACTTTATGGAGCATTGTAGCAAATGTACCTCTTGAAACAGGTTAGCATCCACTTCTTCTCCTAACTACCATTTAGAAATCAGTAGGTAAGATTATTAAACATCTCAAGGTGGTTGACTGCTGAAGTTGGGTGTGAGGAGGAATGATTTCTGTTTTCATTTATGATTGGTTTCTGCTTTTGTTTTCATTATTTATTAATACTGCATTTATTGTAATACAGTGGAGCATCGTTTATACGACGATCACTTATACGACGTTTACATTTATACGACGTTTTAGTGTGGTCCCAAATCATTCCTATTCATTTTAATGTAAAAATATATCGTTTATACGACGCACAGAATCGGTTATACGTCGGTTTTTAGATTTTGTTCACGTTTATTTAATTTTTTATTTTTTCTTGTGTATTTTAAAAAAGGGCGGAATTTGCCAACATGAATGATACAGAAAAGGGTGCCAACAAGAATGCTTGGATGACGACCGTAATTTTTACTAGATGACTGAAAAAACTAGACAATGTTATGAAGAGGCAAAAACGAAAAATTTTGCTATTCATCGACCAATGTCCAGCGCACCCATCGATACTAATTATTTTGGAAAATGTAAAAGCTCTCTTTTTTCCTGCAAATTGCACAAGTGCGCTTCAGCCATTAGATTTGGCCGTGATTAGAAATCTAAAATTGCATCATAGAAAGCAGTAAGTTCAACTCGCTATTCAAAGCATTGTAGAGACTAATAGCAAGAAAATATAATTAAAGGTAACATACATTCAAATTGCTCACTGCAATTTTTCTTCTTTGGTTATTTGTTTGTTTTGCTTTGTCTAATTTAGAAATTTATGTAAATCAACACGTTAAACATTAAAATTAACTGAAAACAGAGTTAGTTTCAGTTTTAGAAGTAAAAATCGATTATGCGACGTTATCGTTTATACGACGTTTTTAGGTGGTCCCTTCGGCGTCGTATAAACGATGCTCCACTGTATTTCTAAAGAATTAATTTCTATCAAAAATATTGGATATAACTGGTGGTCAAGACAGAACAGAAGAACTAAAATGATGGTATACTGGAAGCAATGTGACCAACTAACAACAGTTCAGATGGCATAGTTCCAGAATGACATTTTGACTCAAGCACGCATATGCTAAATGAGAATATTGCTCACCCTGTAAGTTATTTATCTGTTATAGCATCTCGTACTGAGCATTTTCAGCATTACTTGTGTTTTTGAAGAGCTGGACTTTTCTTTTTACTTTCAATATTCTTTGGTCTGTGGGCTAGTAAAGATCATTCTTTAGAGGTTATAAGCCAAGCCAAGTTATAATGGTTTCAGACAAGCAGACCATCTATGAAATAATAAAACACTTTTCTCACAAGATATAAAACAAAAATTTCTTGTGATTAACATATTTGTCAACCTTTACTAAGGTGAAAAGTATGACTCTTCTTGATTCTGAAACACAGCAGCAATTGAATAAAATTAAGAATTGACCAGTGTAAAAAAAAGGCTAAATATTCACTTTTTTATAACATTAGTTTTTATTTAAAAAGTATTAACTTTTCATAAATACTGTAGCCACCGATTTTAATTAGTTTGATTGAGAAATGCAATAACCAATCTTAAATCAAAAGTACAAAATACCTGATGTCCAGATAATTGGTGAAATGGCTCATTTCTGCTAACATCATTCTGATTAGAAAAGGGAGACCATATAAGAATTTTCTGAAAAACAGTTCCAACAGCAAGAACTAGTGAATGATATTCACAAGAAATAATTGATGCTGAATATCTGATCATGTCATTAAAGAAAAAGAAATATCTGCATTTTAAAAAAACATTAATTGTAAAAATAAAAAGTAGTAGTACCTCAATAAAAATAAAACAATTGATTTAAGACTAGTCTCTTGTACAATACAAAATATAAATAAAAAAAATAATTATTAAAATAATTTTCAAGTGCAAAAAAAAATAATAATCTAATGAATCAATGCAATTCTAGTTTTCTGTTTGTGTTTTCCGCCAAAACAGAAAAAAAAGAACTTTTTCTGTTTCGGCATTTCAGTCAATTAAGTTTGCGTTTGTTACTTAAACCAAAATAAATACTTGTTTGTGGCAGAAAAAGATTTTTCTTACTTACTAAAATGCAGACTGCATAATCAATTCAACATAATTTACAGATTCTGGTGTATTTTTTATCACAGTTTAAACGCAATTTAATTGGATTTTTAATGTTAAGAAAACTTTGCTTGCTGTACGGAAAAAAAAAAGAAAAAAAACTTACATCAAAATAATCAAACTGAGTATTATTCAACAATTGCTTTTGAATCAAAATCAAACTGAGCTTTAATTCAACAATTAAATATATAAAGTACAAAATTAAGTCAATTTCACTGATTAAATTTAAAAATATAATCTATCCTATCTGCATAATATAATTTAATATAATGAATTTGTATATAATTAGCTAACATTTGAATGTCGTTAATTAAGATGTCTTAGGTGGTATTTTAGATATCTTTGGTATCGCATCAGAAAAATTACAACTAAAATTAAGAAATAATGATCAAAAGAACTGAGCGTTCTTTGATTTTCTTTTAAACACATACATATAATTTTAAAATTATATAAAACTGCATGTGAATGAGTAAGGTATAATGCAATAGTTACTTAACTTTTTATCAATTTTCAATGTACTTATCATTCGAATTACAAAAATAAATGAAAAAGGATACAATATACAGTTTTCTGCACAATGATATGATTGTAGGATTTCCCCTGATTCATTTAATAAAATTAAGCAATTATGAGCAGTCAAAGCAGCAACAGTGTATTCTATTTCCTCTTTTTTACATATCCATTGCACATCTAGGATCCAATCTTTTAAATTTATGGCATGGGAATGGGTTAGACTAAAAGAAATTTTAAAAAAAAATAGAATTTAATAATAAATACTTTCAAAAGAAGGAAACATTTCAAACTTGCTTTTTTCGCTACCGTGTTTATCTTATAGCACAAACAGAATAATTTTTGGCAAGAAAATTTAAGATGAAAATAAATTGGATAAAATCAAAGTAAGCTTTGTAAAAGATTAATTTAAAATAATTTATGGTAAATATTTCCTTTAAGTAAAGATTCATGCGCTTTAGCAATAAAATAAATATCTGAAATAGTTGATTTTTAAAGACAAGCATGCTGCCACCTTAAGCAAGAAGGCGGTATACCACAAATTTTTTTGGTTTACCATTTTATTATGTTCTAATATTTGCAGTCAGAAAAACAAAAGTATTACTTAACACTTACACTAAACTCCTTATACTTATTTAAACAATAAGTATCACTCAATCTGACAATAGACAAAGTACCAGTTTTGGTATATGTGAAAATAACAGCGGTTTGCAAAAGTAACAACACAAATAAAGCATCTTTTTCTCTTAAAAAACTTGAATTTAGTTTATTATTACTCTCAAACTCCATAAATCAAAAATTTAACTATGAGAAGAATGTAATTAGGAACCATATTTACCTAGGTAAAAACAGAAATGTAAAAATATTGATATGTAATTGGTTTTTAAATATTTAAAGAGTGTAATGTATAGCAATTACTAAATAATTATTTTTTTTATTGCGACTGTTTTTCATCTGAATAATAAATAAAAACTATATGATCAGGAGTTAGCAAGACAAACAGCCAAAGTTAATGCCAAGGCAGCAAAATATTGCTAAACAAAGAATTTTAATAGTAACTGTGAAAATTTTCACCTTAAAAATTAAAAAACCTAAGACGATTTCTAATAAACTTACTTAAAATTGGTGAAAATCAGGTAAATGTTTAACACAAAGATTTCATTACGTAAACAGCTAAAACAAATCAATCGATAAATTTATCTAAAAATAACATAATAGATTCTATTGATTACAACAACTTGCTATTAAGATATGTGAAAAAATTATTGGGCATTGATATAGTGTTAAAGATAGAATTCTGTTGAAACATTCATCATTATTCCATCATTGTGAATGACTTTATATGGCAAAGTTTGATTTTTAACATTAATAATTTTTAATCAAATATTAACCAGAACATTTAGGAAAGGATTGGCCTCAAGTGATTGGCCATACTTGGGATTCAATCTAGAATATTAAAATATAAAAAATTATTTTATTAAAAAAACAATTTAAAAAAAATTTTCAATTTTGTATTAAATTCTTTTTAAAAAAACAATGAAAATCTTGAGATACTTAGAAAAATTATTATAAAAAAATTATTCTAATTTTTATCTACAACAAGAGACTCTTTAAATTAGCATTTGATTGCGTTTTAATCACAATGATATCTATAATACTGTCAATCAGGGATGGAAAATTCCCTTTGAGCAGGGATGTTACAGAGGGGGTCTACGGGAGAATTTAGATAATGTGAAGCAATAGAAAACATACTGGTCAACTTAAAAAATGAAGGAGGAAAAGTCCAGCATGTTTCCAAAGTTCAAAACAGTTACCCAATATCAAGACTCACCAAAATATAAATAATGAAAACAAAGCAGATTTAAAAAAATAAATGCAATATTTCCAACAACAACAACAAAAAAAGATAGAAAAGAAAATAAAGTTTCAAAACAAAAGAAAGAAAGAAACCAGCTAAAGGGAACAATGTTGGTATTAATTTTCTTTCCAATTTTCTAAGGCAACATTGCATTTCTTTTTTCAAATCTGTTTTATTTTCATCATTCACACTTTTGTGGGTCTATATAATGGGCCCTGCTTTCAAAGCTAGCAAAATGCTTATCTTTACCACCTTAATTTTTGAAGCCAATGATTTGGATAGAAAAGAATTTGAAAAGTAAAGGTTTAAAAGTTTTAAATGTAGGAAAAATATTTAGTTGTAAAGAGACCAGACAATAGAAAACAAAGAAGCTTTGTTATTTTTATTTTGAAACCAGTGCCAAAGGGAAGGGGAATGTGTGAAACAGATTTCCTCTTTATTTTTAATAAAGATTTAATAAATTTGTGTTAACTATATTTTAAAAAAAATTTAGGATATTATAACTACATTTTAAATATCCTTCTTATATTTGCAAACTTCATAAGTTTTCTCTCATTTATGAGTGTTTTAATAAATAATAAGCACATTTATAACTTAACTCATTAAATGTTCAAATTCAATATCAACTTAATTCAATAAATTTTATATCTTGACTTATTTTTTATATGAAAAACATCTCAAGAAATTAAAATACATCAACCAAACCTTATTTCAGCGTCGAGAATGAAGGATAGGACTCTGATATGCTTTGCACCAAATGCGAGGAATTTATGATTATCACCTAAAAAGTAATAAATCAAATTAATGTGAAAAAAACACATAAAAATTCATATGAAGTCATTGAAACAAAATAAAAACATAATTTAGGTTTTTTTTTCTTAAATCTCATAAAAAAAATTTAAAAAATTATATTATAAGTTTTTTTAATTTCTCAACCAGAAATATCAATAAACAATTATTTCCAAATAAGAACATGACAGGAAATAATAAAAATTCAATAACATATTATTTTAAACATAGAACAAAAAAAATTTCTTAAAACATGTTTTCTTAAACATTCATTTATACCTATAAATTGTATTAAAACTGACATAGTTATAATTGATGTAAAAAAAAAAAAAATTATTTTTATCCTTATTTTCTTTTAGAGTTTTGGATTTTGTGTTCTGAATAGAATGAAATAAAAAGATTTGATCTCAAATTTTTTTTACAATTTTCATATAATTTTTAATTTTGGTAAAGTCTTAATTTTCAGAAAAAATATTGAAGATTAATACCAAATATAGTGAATCAACCAGAAAATTAGTGACTATTCATTCAATAAAAAAATAAATTCATGACTATAAATACTATTCTATAAATACTATGACTATAAATATATTTCATGACTATAAATCAGGGTTTGTTGATTTAAATCAGCTTGATTTAAATCACGATTTAAATCATGATTTAAATCAAATGATTTTTTTAAAAAAATCATTGATTTAAATCAACTAATTTTTTTTGATACATATTGATTATAAAAGTTAAAAAACAGCGTTTTAAATTAATGATTCTTTTATTATTTTCTTTTCTTAGTTTCAAAATTTATTTTAAATAAATTGTTGCATTAATAAATTTTAGTTAACGAAATTACTTTCTTTCTTGGTGTGTGTTAAATTCCAACACATTGAAAATTACATTTTTAAAAATCTTTTGATTCTTGAGATTGAAAGCACAGATTAAAGTAAACATTTAATGCTGTCTTAATATAGACTTGCATAGCTGTAGAAAGTAATTATTAAACATGAATTTTTTCAAAAAATAATGTAAATATTGTTAATTAAAATTCTACCGTTTGAAAGAAAAAGCATGGAATTAAAATCTACATTATATTTATTGGTGGAAAATGTATATTTTTGAAGCTTTTTCAAAAGCATATTAAAAAGAAAATACCCAATTTGCCAAAAATAGAAAGAAAAGAAAAAGGCCAATAAATTCAGATATTTTTTTCCTGATATAGTGTCATTCTTCCCTTTCAAACTCTATTTGAAACAGTAGGGTTATTAACTGGTATTTTTGCTCATAATATGTTTACAGTATCTTTGACATCTGATTTTCTATAACGAAATTTTGTGGAAAAAAATTCCTATGAGTACATAGATTTTTTAAAAAAAAATATTTTTAGCTTAACGTATCTATTTTGATATAGAATTAAAAGTGAATATTTTAATATAAAAATATATAGATTAAATATTTATTTTTTGATGAATGACTACATTTATAAACACAATCTGTTACATTTATTTTGTCATTTTAAAAATCAAACGGAAAAAAAAGGAAATTTTAAATTAAGATTATGGTTTGCTAATTGAAACTCTGTTTGAATAGTTAAAGTACAGGGGTCTGTCCAAGTGAAATTTACTACCGTTTACCGGTACCTACACAACTTTAGGAAAAACGGTAGAACAATTCCACAAAATACTTTTTTCTCAACATTTTATTTTTGTGTCTCGTAAGAAAAGATAAATCCAAATTTTTAATTTTCAAAAATTATGTCTACATTTTCACAAAATAGTTATCTTTGAAAAACCTAGACAGACTACTAAAGTATTCTTTAAATTTTCTATTTGAACTAGTCCTTAAATTTCAATCATGCATTTGTTTCAAAATGGTTGCTATGCATTCAAAGCTATGTATTATAATGAAAAATTATTTTAGTAAGTTAAAATATTGTTCTAAATATTGTTATAATATAGTTTTATTATTAATTTTGATTAAGCATTTATAAAGTTTTTTTAATCATAAATTAAAGTTCTTACAGTGTATTTGAATAAAAATCAAAAAAATCTGATTTAAATCAAAAAAATCTGATTTTTTT